ATTATACAGAACTGACTTTGAAAATAAAATTTAAGAGTAAACATCTGACTTTGCGTTTGATTTTGAGCCTCATTTTACATCTAGCCTTATCTCATGTACATAACCGAAAATTGCCATTTGACTTTATTATAAATGAAGCTTCTTTTCCAAAATCAAAATTGCCTTAAAAGAGTAAAACTGGGGGCACAAGGTTGGTAAGGACATCAAACCAAGCTTTCATCTGATTTACTCGAGTCTTCAAATTAACTGATCAAAGGATCGTTGAATGGCAGTATTAAAAAGAAACTGGAAGGCATTTTAGAAGGCATTCAGATAATAAGTATATCATTATATCGTTTTTTTTCCAATCATTTACTCCCGAGGAAAAGCTCATTTTTAATCATGAAATAGTTTTTATTTTTATTAGGAAAAAACACAAAAGCCTTTTGAAGTTTTGTGCCAAAGAGCCGATCTATAAAAGCTTTAGTTTTGAAGTCTTGTATCTAAAAACCGATCACTAAGAAGTAAACCCTAGCCTTTAGTGGTAGCTTTTCAAACGAAACCTGAAATTTCAAACGCAATTGCTCCTAATATTTCAATTCCGTTGACACGGTTAAGGATACACTTCCCGCATAGGGAATATCTAATTAAGCGCTGACAATTTTAAAACCTCCAGCCAAATCCCTTTCCCTGCTCCATTTTTGAGGAGCTTATGGGTGCACAATGGGTAAATGGCATGAAATAAAGTCATTATACATCGGCGGGATGATGAAACATTATTTTGACATTAGCTGAGATGAGAACTTAGTTGATCTGAGCGGAATTGGTAAGAACCTAATTGAGACTTATTTTTGACGGTTGCCGTTTGAAGGAAGTGAAATGAGGGTCTTAATTCCGTTAATGAGGTAAAATGGATAACTTTGATGACAATTATTTCATCTAAAAATGGCTCTTTCAGCAAATATTATTTAGTTTTTCTAAGAAACATACTTCAGCTGTTTTCTTAAAAAGAAAAATCAACCGGTATATCAAAACAAAAATAAAAATTTTTTAAAACCGCTCGAAGAGTTGACATGCAGGTTCAGTATTGTTAGCAAATTTACCTAAAGCTTGAGCTCACAAACGGCATTCAATTTTATAATTAAACAAGACTGCTCGTATCAGGGCGAAGCCCTGAATGTTCCGACTGCCTTTTAATGTTTATGGAGCAGTAATAACATAAACAACATAAAAAAATTAAATGAAATAAAATAAAATGAAATTTTTTTTTCTAAAATTTGAAAATTTTTGTATAAAAATCATCCCCCCACATGCCATATAAAGTACAAAACAATAGATTTCGCTCCTTGTAATGAAAGAATTATGGCAAATAAGCGTCTTTCAACCAATTTGGAACGATTTCTAAGACGGATTAACTCTCCGCTTACGCGTTAATAGCGCGAATTATATCGCGCGTTAATTGTCCCAAATTGGTCAAAATGGGAATCTTTAAACCCTCATTACTTTACGAAAAATGATCACAGGTGAAATATATTTTCAAATTTAAGCTCAGGACAACAATAGCTTTCGAATGATCTAAAAAAATTCCGGCAAAAATGGCTAGTTAAAAAGTCGAAATTTGTCTGAAGAAAAAAAAAACCCACCCCGAGCAAAAATATTCCGTTACTTTCGTACCGAAAGCCGGAACAAAAGCATAATTGTCCAGGTCAGAGGCCCGCGACTTAAGTAAAAACGGTCGCCCGAAGGATATAGCGCGACCGAAAGATTTTCCAGGCGCGCAGAGTCGGCGCCTTACGTCGAGAAAGTCCGGAAATTCGACTAAAGCAATTAGTCTTAGTCGTCGTCTGTATACTTTAAAACAAAATACGTTATTAGTAAAGAGTACTAACGATTTCTTGAATCTTAATTGTTTGATACATGGCGGTGAGTTAAACGGAAAAATACTAGGTTAAATTTTCAAAAAATTTCTTTTCGTCTATGAAAATCTAGCAGTCAATTGGTCTATTTTTCAACTAGGGCTGTAGACAGAAGGGTCAATTAAGAATATACTCTAGGGGAGTGTACATGCACACAGGGGAGTAGATTGATACCTTTTTTTGAAAATCAGTAGAGGTTTCTAAAGTAGACTTAAGTTTTTCCAATATATTTGGAAAGATTTTTCCATAATGAAAAAAAAATCAAACGACCCAAATTTAGGTCATTAAGCCAATTGAAAATGACCCAAACGACTTAAATTTAGATCATTAAGCCAATTGAAAATGAGCCAAAATAATTTGGGCCGAAGAAATTTTTTTAAGCGACATAGAAAGGTGAGTAAAATTTAAAATTTTAGGAGTAAATCAAACGCTCCAAAAGTTATAGAAAAATGCGCGCAGCGAAAAAAAATAAAAGTTTTAAGATGCTGCAACTAAGTCGACTACAGATAAGTAGACAAATAATTGGCCGAGAACATAGTACTTTCCGTTTGAAAAAAAAAAACCAGCTACTGGTCAGGTTCGAACCAAGGATCTTTGAAGTCTCAGGTATATTTTTACCTCCAGGTTAAAATGGTTAGGAAGGCATATAAATTTGAGTTCATTATGAACTAAGATACAAGTGATTCAAGTGATTCTGTTAAACAAGTTGTTAACCCGAAAAAAGTTCTATATTTCAGTTTGATAGCGTTTGCATATCGCAAGAGTAAAAAATTGTTAATTCAATCAAAATGTATCTTGGGAACATGGGTAAAATTTTTTGAAAAAAATCAGTTTTTGCGTCATCCATTCGCTTAAAAATTTTCATTGTATCAAGTTTTCAAAAATTGTTTTCAAAATTTGGCCAACCTCACACACCTTTAAGACATTCAAAACCTGATAAAATCAACCTTATTTGTTTATTATTTTCTACGCCGTAAACGTTAAATTACAAAACCTGCTGTTTCTTTATCATCTTAGCGGTTCCATCTAAAATGAGTCATTGGTAAGTAGCAAATAATTAATAAAAAGCGTCTGAATCAAATGGTATGACGGCAATCAATTTTATATCGGACTGTTTTTGCTTTTTAACGAATTATCCCAGTAGAGTATATTTAATCTATGCTTAATGCTGTTTAAATTGATTGATGTCAGAAAATCAATCACTTATATGTGTGAAAAGAGTCGATTTATGAAAATAAAAAATTTAAAAAAAGTTTTCATGAAAAAAAAAGTGGTAGTTCAACAATACAAAAGGCAAGCAAACCGAAAATTGAATTACCCGCTCAAACAGCCAAAAATCATATCAAAAACGCAACGAGACGGTTGTTACAATCGCAAATTAAAAAAGGTAGCTCGACCAGGGCGATAACTTGAATGTTCCGACTGCGTTTTAATTTCATTGGAGTAATTTGAAAGAGAATAATTGATAAAATCTTCAAAATTTTTTCAAAATTTGATGTTTTTTTAAATTATCTCCCCCACGCTAAATAAAGTACAAAATGATATATTTTGTGTACAGCAAAGTATTGAATGAACCAAAGAGTAAGCCTCAATCCAACTTGGAACGATTTCTTATAGGGATTTAACCTCTGCTTACGCGTTCAAGCACGAAATATATTGCGCGTTAGTTGTCCCCGAATTGAGCATATTGGCAATCTTTAAACACCCATAATTTTACAAAAAGTGGTCACAAGGTCACAGGAAAAAGTTTTTTTGAATTTTAGCTCACGACTACAATAATTTTCGAATGTTATTCAAAATTTTTCCAATAATTGCGTGTTAAAAAGACGAAGTTTGTCTAGGGAAAAAACAACCCGAGTACAAAAATTCCGTCTTTTTCTGCGAAAGTCAGAACAATAAAAGAAGATTAGCTTGAGCAAAAACTATTTTACTCCTATCATTAGGAAGATTTTGAAAATCTTGTTCGTTATTTTATTTACAAAATTTTTTTGTTAGTTGTTTGCATCATATTTTCAGATCAATTTTCCACTTGTTTGCATTTCTAACACAAATTTAAGCACAGAATAAAATTTTATCCAAGATGAAATTGCAACGCATTAGACTGGTGTTTCAGCTTGAAGATATCCCAGTTTAATAACCGTACTGCTTGTGAAATTTCCTGGGGTATCTTTACCTACAAAAAAAACTAAATTTATAACTTCATTTGACTGAACAATATGTTAAAACTGCAAAATTAGGTTGCACTCCTCGTTTGGCTAGTTTTCCCTACAAAACTTGAATCGTATTTTTTTACAGGAAAAGCCTAAAAACATTACAAAAGCAATTTTGTGTGTATCTTTTTGAGTTTTGCTTGAAAAAACTCGGGGGAAATTACGCTAAAAAGCAGTTAGATAGTTTCGACCAATTTTGATCAAAATTGTTTTAAATAATTTTTTGAAAAAAGAGTGTGTTTTTTGATTGAAAACTTTCAGAAAAGATGTAGATTCAGCAGAAAGCAAGATTTTTTGCGTGAGAAAGCTATGACGTTTATCAAAAATCGATCATTATCTACGAATCAAGATAAAGTCATTGTGTTAAGATAAACTGTATATCAATGATTTAGATATTAGAAATTGTCATTTTGACTATGATTATCGTTGACTTATCGATAATTCAATACTACTCATTAAACGTTCCATAATGGTTCAAACATTTTGACTCTCAACTGAAAACGAACTAACAATCTATAAATCTCTACTGTTTAACGTTTTTTCGCTGCATTTTTCCTCGCTTTTGATTTACCGCAAAGAACATAATAAACATAGAATGGGTTTCATTTATTTCATTTTATTTTTAGGCATCTTTTTTTTAGCTGACCGAGACCAAAAATTTTCTAACGATGCCTTCTAATTACTTCAAATTATAGGAGGGCCTTATTTTCAATACTTTAATTGACCAAACAAAAAAAATTCCAACCGTTTTTCTCTGCACTGAGAAGACCTATTTTTCATGTTGTCCAAAAAAAACACAGACAGATCTCATTTGGGGACTTGATTTTGCGTAGCCACTGAACATATTTTTTTTGCAGTCAAATGTCTTTGTCAATTTGCATCTTGCACTGCTCAGGTGTTGCATTGAGTTGGGTCTGGGAATGATTGACGTGATCCGACAATTTGACCTTGACAGAAATGAGAAGGTGGAGATGCGGGTTGGCGTGCACTCTGGAAGAGTCATATGTGGAATTGTGGGAGAGAGACGATACAAGGTCAGCCGAGGTCATCAAGCCGAACCAAACTAATATGGGAAAATTATTTTATCTCTGGGACACGCAAGTTAACAATGAATCGTTGAAAACTGAAGCGAATAATGTTGCTTTTAAAACGATAAAACTTTGTGACAAGGCAAGCAGATTTGTTGCACAAAAACATTGAAAATATCTTTGGGTTAGGTCACAATTTTTTGGTGGCTCAAAATAGCACATTAATTTGTCAAAACTTCATCCTATCATTTTTGTAATTTTTTAAACTCATATTAATGTGGAAAAAACTCGGAAAAAAGACAAACTCACAAAAAGCTCTTGCTGCTGTTCCGACCATTTTAAAAATGTGGAGAAACTTTGCATTCGGGTGTTTTAGTTTTTTTTTCCACGCAAAATCAGGTACCACAAATAATTATCGGAATGGGTAGAATGATATATCATACTAAAGCCCTTTAATCGTGATTCGAACGATATTTAACAATTTTGAAAAAACTTCTCAATGTTGAGAACAACCAGCTTGAAGTTTTTGATTTGTGGTCTAATTTCAAGCTAATCAAGTAAGGCTAAGCAGGCTTACAAAAGCTTTTCAAGTTTAGTTTTATCCGTGACAACTTAGGTTTACTCAATCAAAGTTAGTTTTTGGTGTTTTTAGCGCCAATTTGGGAATCAAAAGCTTCAAAACTCGAAAATTTTCTGCAAAAAAAATTGAAAATAAAATTGTGTAATTTCGTATTTTTTAAGACCATAGTTGGAACATTCTGTGCTACTTGCACAGTAACCGGATATGACTAACTGAGTTTATGCTAGAGGTAGCTTATTCATAGGGTAATTTCAGAAAAGGTACACCGTCTGTTCGTCACGCTATCTTATTTTCGGCCGGATAGATTCGTGCAACTTCTTTGTCTAATACCAATCTTAATCTTACTCTTATATCTCCTAGTCTCAATAGATCTAGTGTATACTGGTATTTACGAGTTAGTTCTTGGAGTTTATCCAAAAGAAGAACAACTGTAGTCTAAGATTTATTCAAATTGTTCTGGTGCTGAAACTACAAGTAGTTTCAGCACTACAAATAATTGTCAGTGTTAGTGATGGAATATGATTGGTTAGTTAGTAATATTTTATAGAGATAGTTTTATCAATAAAATAATTGGTTTATAAATGCCAGTCCAGAACTTCCAATTCTGTTACTTTTTGAAGTTTGGTTTTTTCTGATCAAAAATATAATAAACAGATTAGCCAGTTTCCGAAATAAACGAGACACTGACTCAATCACCTCTTCTTTTGTTGGCAGTTCGACATAGTGTCTCTGGACGTGTTCAAGGCCAACGAGATGGAGAGTAGTGGCAGGGCTAGCAGAGTGCACATCAGTCAGACCACTTTCGCCTCCCTCTCCGAGGAGGACAAGGAGTGCTTCCTCTTCCAGGAGAACTTCGACACAGACCCCGCCCAGAAGGCCACCTCCATGCTTGGAAGTGAGTCATAACAGGATTCTTTGAATTAAAACAATTAGCAAAACTAAAACCTGATCATACCAATTCCAAAAAATCGGGCACTTTTTTATGTTGCTAGTGCTATTTGAAAATTTTCTACTTCAAGCGTTAAAATGGTTAGAACTAGCTTACGGTATTCATTTGTGGTCAAATTTGGGTTTCATATTCAAATGAGCAGCTTTCGAGTTGAATGTTTTTCTAAACTACAAAAAAAAAACGTTCCTTATTTATTAAAACCAACTGTATTTTTGCCGAAGCTTCCCAAAATTTAATAAGTTCTACCAGAGACTTTTTTGAGCCAAATAAATTTCAAAATGAGACTGAAATATTATGAAATCAAAATAGTTTGAGATGTTCTAAAATTTAGTAAAACTTCAAAAAAGTGAGGAAAAGTGAAGGTCTTGTTATTTTTTAATTTTTTTAAGTTATACGCTTCGTTTCAGAAATGAAGACTTACTTTGTGCAGAGAAAAGTGGAGGAGCATCAAGTGGAAAACAACCAAGAAGTATTTCAAAACCCGTCAGAGGTAATACTTGAAATCTAAGAGAAACTCATCCTCAAACAATGAACACAAGAATGCAAATTAACTATGAGGATTTAAATGGTGTGTTGGAGTCTACCAGACTGAGCATTTCTTGTCTTTTCAGGCCTCAAAAAAGTCACAAAATGGCGCCGAAATATCGAGACAGGAATCGAGCACACTTGCAGTTCCTCCTGATTCGTCCCAAAACGAAGAGCAACAACTTCTAGCCGCCCTAGACCAGAATGAAATTTGTGTCAACTCTTTCATTTGGACTCCATGTACTTTTTTCGGCACTTTCAAGGTCAGAACAATTTGCAAAAGTTTCACGTAAGAATCTATATGTTTATTTCTAAAGGACTGGCTTAGACAAACGGACTACGCTTCAGTGTTTGGACTATATGATATACCCCTATTTTTTGATCGCAAAATTTTCAATGAGAAATTGCCTTCGATTTTTGTAGCAAAACAATAATTTGATATCGTTTCAGGAGGCGGACTTGGAGCGAAAGTTTCGGAGAACGTTCTTCGAGGAAAAACTGCTCCGAGAAACCATCCCATTTACAAACAGCAATGCCGATTTCAGGTCATCGTGCAACGGTGAAAACTTTCTCGAGGAAGAGGAAAAAGTTAGGGAAAATGGGTATCCCAAAATTTACTGCTCAAGTGTCATTTACGAATCATTATTAATCACGCCCTTTCTGATCACACATTTCGTTATATTCGTTTATCTGAAGAGTCACGACGACATTTTTTATCCAATTAAGAGCAATGTCTTTCAAATTTACAGTTGCTCCGCATTATCAGTGGAAATTTTTCTGATTATTTTTGCAATTTTGATTTTAATTTTCCGAATTTTACTTAGCTTTCTATCTTTTTCTGAAATGCAGTCCGCAACTGTCCATTGTGATGCTTTTAGCAGAAATTGGTTGTGGCAGAAACTGAACAAACTTGTTCATAGTTATGTGGGTTATCACTTTTACACCTCATTTATATTGACCTTTTCTTTGTTTGTTTCAGTTTATAATAACTTTTTGTTAATATTACCTCCTAACGATGAGATATCGACAGTTATGTTCCTTCAAAATTTTTGTTCCTGCTTGTTTTTACTGAACATCTTTTATGCGTTGATCTTCACGAGAGCCATGGCCTTGACTAAATTCCTGGTTTGCTTTTGCTTTTTGGTAAACAATTGTGCTGTTTCTGTTATTTACGGAACTGATACCAGTTTCAATCAAGCTATCGAAAATAATTCTTCGTCAAGTCATGCTACTAAAAGTTTGAGTGAAAAGGCATCCCAACCTGCACTAATCCAGTAATTCATATTCTGTTTTGTCCTGGATAGTTACATGCAATAAACGCCAACTTTTTGAGGCTTGAACATGGAGTTTTTTGAAGTACTTGTTTCATTCAATCTGACGCCCTGATAATTCCGTCCTTCATTAGTTTTCGGAATTTCGCCTTCAGCGCCTCAGTCCATTAAGTGAAATAATAGTGCTATCGAGGCAAAGCGCTAAATGTTCCGATGCTCTTTAAATATTCCGATGTAGTTTTCAGTCGAAAATCAATAAAACTTTCATTTAAAAAATTGAAAATTGAAAAATCGTCAAAAACTAAATGAATTGTTCTGCGCCTATTATTTCATTATTTGAATCAAATATCGTACTCCAATTCTATGGGAATCATTTTTGAGCCGTATCAAATCGCCGTGTAAACATGCCTTAATACAAAAATTGAAAAAAGAGCTGAGCAAAAAACTGAGATTAGATATATTCGACAGTCATAGTAAAATAAGCAAACTGGAAAACAGCTTATTTAGAAGTTACTTGAAAAATGAAAAAAAATTTTTTCAAGCTTTGCAGTTTTTTGAATTTTTGAAAATTTTGATTTCAAAATGGCGCTAAAATACTCAAAATACTCAAAGTAAACTTACGTTGCTCAAGTAAAACTAAGTTTTTACGTTTTAAAATAAGCTATGGCAAGCTTTTAAGCAGCTAAAATAAGGCTGCTCGCTCGCTTTTTTCGCTCGGAATAAGACGAAAAATCAAAAATTGCAAGCCGGTTTTTCTCGACACAGGGAAAAAATTTTTAATGTGATTCGAATTACCACTGTAAGGGCTTTAATATGATATATCACTGAACCCAGTCCGATGATTATTTGTGGTACCTGATTTTGCGTGGAAAAGAAAAAGAAAAAAAGAAAAACTAAAACACACCCGAATACAAAGTTCCTCCCCATTTTCAATAGTCGGAACAAAAATCGGAAATCTATGCGCCACCAACTGACAACTTTATAATTCCCGTAGTTTTCCAAAAAGAAGCTTTTGCAGGTGGAATAATTTTTTAATTTTGAGTCCATGTTCCATTTTTAATGTTCCGATTATAATTTCAGAAGTCTCAGCTAAGCTAACGATGAAATGTATGATATCTTTTGTAGAAGTTAATTGGTTTTTTCACCAGCACATAAGTTGGATCAGTTAGCGAGCCTTTTTTCACGTTTGGACGGCCCTTTAGCCATTTGATCTCGCAGCATTCAAAAATTTACATGGAAGTTTTTGCACTAAATACAAACGATACGCTCATTGCTTATCCCAAGGTATCCAAATTGGCAGTTTTCCCTTATTTTCACAAAAATAACCAAGATGAAAACTCTTCTAATAATTGAGCTCAATGTGTTGTTGACTTTAAGACGTATTGTTGATCAAAAGTCGAAAAACGCCGGGAACAAATAAATAATCACCACAAGCGTGCATATTCAACAAACAAATGTCACAGCAAAAATAAATGTGCGAATACCAGTTTTCAAATAAAATCAAAATTTGAGCTTATGCTACAAACAAAACTTTTAAGTAACAAGGATTGCCATAATCATTTAAAAAAATCATTTTTTTTCTTAAAATCAAGGTCGCTTTTACCGCTTGCTGTGATTTGAGAACTATATAAACGCGTGGAAATTTAGTAATTTATACAAATTTGAAAACATTTGTCTTCAAAAAAAATGACTGACAAAAACACCTCTAAATAATTTTATCTTGTCTTAAACAAAAATCTAAAAATTTATTAGGCATATTTTTGCTAGGGAAGCACTAAATTATACATCCAAAACTAGTTTTAGTTTGAATGAAATTGAGGTTTTTTAGACGAAAAGTCTTAATGAAAATAAATATCGTTTCTCGATCACCTCTCTCGAAACTGAACCAAAAATCAAAAATTTCAAACCAGTTTCTCGACACTGAGAAAAAAAGAAAAACTAAAACACACCCGAATACAAAGTTCCTCCCCATTTTCAATAGTCGGAACAAAAATCGGAAATCTATGCGCCACCAACTGACAACTTTATAATTCCCGTAGTTTTCCAAAAAGAAGCTTTTGCAGGTGGAATAATTTTTTAATTTTGAGTCCATGGCCCGATTATAATGTTCCGATTATAATTTCAGAAGTCTCAGCTAAGCTAACGATGAAATGTATGATATCTTTTGTAGAAGTTAATTGGTTTTTTCACCAGCACATAAGTTGGATCAGTTAGCGAGCCTTTTTTCACGTTTGGACGGCCCTTTAGCCATTTGATCTCGCAGCATTCAAAAATTTACATGGAAGTTTTTGCACTAAATACAAACGATACGCTCATTGCTTATCCCAAGGTATCCAAATTGGCAGTTTTCCCTTATTTTCACAAAAATAACCAAGATGAAAACTCTTCTAATAATTGAGCTCAATGTGTTGTTGACTTTAAGACGTATTGTTGATCAAAAGTCGAAAAACGCCGGGAACAAATAAATAATCACCACAAGCGTGCATATTCAACAAACAAATGTCACAGCAAAAATAAATGTGCGAATACCAGTTTTCAAATAAAATCAAAATTTGAGCTTATGCTACAAACAAAACTTTTAAGTAACAAGGATTGCCATAATCATTTAAAAAAATCATTTTTTTTCTTAAAATCAAGGTCGCTTTTACCGCTTGCTGTGATTTGAGAACTATATAAACGCGTGGAAATTTAGTAATTTATACAAATTTGAAAACATTTGTCTTCAAAAAAAATGACTGACAAAAACACCTCTAAATAATTTTATCTTGTCTTAAACAAAAATCTAAAAATTTATTAGGCATATTTTTGCTAGGGAAGCACTAAATTATACATCCAAAACTAGTTTTAGTTTGAATGAAATTGAGGTTTTTTAGACGAAAAGTCTTAATGAAAATAAATATCGTTTCTCGATCACCTCTCTCGAAACTGAACCAAAAATCAAAAATTTCAAACCAGTTTCTCGACACTGAGAAAAAAAGAAAAAAACTTAAATACACCTGGAAACAAAGTTCCTACGTACTTTCATTCAATACAGGAAAATTATGTTTGGATTAGGTCCCCAAAAAAACTAGTAATCTTGCATTCCATATGTTTTTTTTCCGCAAAACAGTTCTCAATTTTTAGAACATGGTTTGCAACTTAAAAGTTTTGTATTTAAAAACTTTCGGGCTGCATGATCTGTAAAGATTCAATTTTTGTAATGAGCAAGCAGCTAAATTATTCAGATTGAAAAAAATGACAAAATAAAATAAAATTAATTTCTGAATCTTTTTTTGTTCCGTTTTTGGAAGAAAGTAAGAAGACATATGATCGTTGATTTTTTAAGAGATCAGTTCATAAATAAATTTTTCTCTCTGGGCTAGATCCCTTGAACTTCCTACTCACAGAAAGGTCGCTCTCACTAGCAAACGAAGCTGAAAATACAGTAATTCTGAAACGAGTTCATCTAAACTGTTCGTTTTATACTTTGATGCTGAAAGTGTAACACGCATTTTTTACTCGTGGCGAGTTATCCCGCACCACAAAACTATTCCGTATTGAATTGAGGCAAGCTAGCTGGGCTTATTAATTCCATCCACGACTCAAATTTTAAAACTTAAAATTTGATATCAGCCTAAAATTCATACTTTGTTAAAAATTCATTAGCAAAAAACTTTTCGAGACCATTTAATAGGCGCTCGGATCATTCAGGGTTTTGCATTGATACCAGCAGTCTTGTTATACACAAAGAATTGAACCGCAACAAAAAGTATAAAAGATTAAGTTAAACAAAATTTGTTACTTGAAACTTTGCTGTGCGTCATCCTCCGGGATATTTGTTTGATTATAAAATGAAAAAGATTTGACCAGTGTCTCCTTAGTGAGAAAAAAATTTTAATCTTTTTTCTGAGCATCAAAATTTTGATTCAAGGGATTTGTATATGATCCGAAACTTGAGCACCTACAAGTTTTTATTAAACCTCTGAAAATTACGAGGCGAAACTGTGCATTTTGTGAATTGTCAGCGGATTCCACAACAAGGAACCTGCGTTTGTTCTTCTTTTGTTCTTTCAGTTTCTTCGATCGTTCCGACAAAATTTTAAATTGCTTAAAGACTTGTCTCTGGAATCCAGGAATATACAGACACAAAATTGTGCGCCTAATAAATTGTCTAGAAAAATGTATAACACGCCGTAGTTCTTTAAGCGTTTCAAGTTTGGCGTAATGATGACTAGAGTAGGTACAAAAATTCAAATTATTCCGAGGCAAATAATCACTTCAAGAAGATATTTTTTGTATGGATCGTTTTATATGCCAAAATGTTTTAAAAGTCCTAGAAGCTGCTGTAGCGCAGCGGAGGTTTGCAGAAAACCCGCCAAAATGGACCATTGTGATTTTTTAAAACAGTTTTAGTCCGAGTTTTGATGTTTTTCTTAGGTCTACTCTAACCGTGATGTTTTAACCCTTAAAATTTACCACGCTGCATTGCGTAAATAACTACAGCCTGTTTTTTTCTTTTATTAGGGTTGACAAAATAGACTAATAATAACCGGTTAATCAGATGGCTGCTATAATGATACCAGGACAAAACATTCATCATTTCAGAGATCTGAGCTGTGTTGACTGGTTCGATTCTTTATTTCCTCAGTTACTTCTCCTTTCTGTCGTGTTTATGCTGAGCTGGGATCATCAGGCTAGTTTAAAATTGCTCAAATTTTGTTCTATGCTGCGATATATATATTTTTTTAGACTCCTGAAGTTCAATTTCTTAAACTACTTTCTAAGGCCTAACTTGAGTAAAATTAAAAATAATAACCACAGAATTTTCTAGGCCAAACAATTTTATGAAATAATTTTGCAAAATAGCCGACTTTTAAATTATGGCTAGGCAAACTATAACCAATTCATCGCTCACTTAATTGTCCGCTTACTTTTTGGGTATTTCAAAATTGTTTTCCTACCACTCGTACTTTTAGTCGTTGTTGCGGGCCGACTTCTACTCGCACGTGGCGGAGACTGAGACAGGGCGGGAGTTGGAGACTGCAAGACAGCGAGCAGGGCTGGAGTTGAACAATGTCCTCCCCAAGTACATCACAGACTACTTTGAGCAGCACAGAGTGAAGAACTACTCGGAGATGAGACCCAACGTGGCCATCTTCTTCTTCTTCGTCGACTTCTTCCACTACTATTCGGGTAAACAAACAGAGGAAGTTTCAAGAAGGCGCTAATAGATACAATTCAAGAAAAACCTCCAAACAAAAGCAAGTTTAAAACTGTCATTTGAAATAGCTTCGACTAGTTCTTCTTATAGAAAAACACGCGGAAGTCTCGTCTTGCAGTCTTTGGCCTGTTCTGGACGTCTATACTGAAGCCCGATTACTGATTTATTAAATTAAATTAAATTGAAAATTCCAGCGGACATTATCAATGAGATTTACAGCAATTTATTTTTATAATCAATGATTTTTTGTCCGCCTGGGACCAACGCTAGTCAAAAAGCCATTACGATGTTGGCTCTAGAAATTAAATAACAACAAGCGAATTTGAAGACTTTCTATAATTGAATGGTAATTTAATTCGGATTGTAATTGTAAGAGTTTTTTCTCTCTGATTAGAGGACTACCGGAGTGGGACAGAGTGGGTGCGGTTTCTGAATGAGTTGATCTGTGACTTTGACGACATCCTCAACCACCCCAAGTACTCCTGCGTGGAGAAGATCAAGACCATCTCCTCCACTTACATGGCCGCCAGCAATCTCAACCCACACTACACTCAAGGTGAAGTTACAGGGAGACTTTTTCGACAAAAACAGCAGATGACTTGAGGTCGAGCGTTCCTAAAAACATAGCTCGGAGACTTAGTTTTTGTACAAGTAAAACAGGATGCTTCGGCTACAATCATATAAAGAATTTGAAAAAAAAACAGTCAAATATTTTTTGGTAATTTCTTGTCATTTTTTTAGTAAAAGGAAACTGACTTAGATGAAAAGCTAAAAGAATGAGTTAGCAAATCGCTAAAGCAACAGTTAAAATATATGAGTAAAATATCGTAAAAAACTGTAGTTGGGAGGTCAGCGTCTAGTAAGTACTGGTTCAGAGGTGGGGGCAGGTGGAGAGAGAGAGCGAGAGAGAGAGAGAGAGAGAGATGAGTCCTAACAATCAAAAATTAAGCGTTCTTTCTATTTAAGTATCATATGTGTTCACATGTTCAGGCAACTGGCGTCTGCAGGCTGTGCGGCTGATGGAATTTGTGATTGAGATGAAGAGGAAGTTGTATGAGTTCTGCATTAGTGGCTTCCAATATGGCAACGAGAGAGAGACCTACAAGTACAAAGTGGGCTTCAACTACGGTGACGTCACTTCAGGTCAGAGCTCAAAACTTCCTGGGCTGAGGTTGTGGTTTCATGAGCAGACGGTCGTGGCCAAATTTTGGTATTTCCTGACTGCCGCGACCAATATTTCGACCCCGACGCCGCTAACTTTTCGATCATGCCGCGATAGTTTTTTCGACAAGGCCGCGTCTAATTTTTCGATCACGCCACGACTAAGTTTTCTACTCTACCGCGACTAATTTTTCGACCGTACCGCGGATAATTTTTCGACTATGCCTTGCGTAGAATTGTTGATTCTACTGTATTACATCCTATAATAACCTGAGCGTAAAATTGATTCGTCATTAAGTTAAGTAGTAGAGCAGACAAAGTGTAGAGTCCAAAATAGTTTAAATCTTCGAAGATATAGCCCCTCCTATGGCGGAAAATGCAGGTGGAGTAATATCGGTGGACCCCCCAAATGAGAACTACAGTGGCTAGCTTTATGAAACTCATAGGACGGATACTAGAGATGACTTGACCCGGGCATGCAAAAATCCATACCCCTAGGACCCCCCGGCCCCAAGTGATAACGGTTCCCGGAATTGCAAATAGCCCTATCAGAACGTTGTAACTAGCGGTTGGAATGGAACAATATTATAGTATGTTATAGACCTAGTTGAGGGTAGCTTAAGTTTACAATCCCAGGCCCCCGGGACCCCTACTTCCGGTGCTCTGCCCTATGCAAATAGACGCCCATCCCGACTTCCGGGAGTCGTTTCTCGGACCCCACTGAACGCAGGGATCTAAAACTTTGGGATATCATAGGTAGCACCGAGGTACATCAGGTATTATAATTTGAGCCAAATACAGCGGCTGAACCGGATATTTTTTTAGCACTTTGGAAAACCACCCCTTAAACCGGAAATAGGCAATTATTGCAAAATATTGAGCGAGGGCATACCGATTTTACAGCGGCATCAGATACTACAACTCATTCCCAAAAAAATACCCCTGGTGAGTGAAAACCCTCCGGCAACTCCTTCTGGTGTTAATAGCCCTTTTCCGGTAAAAGTGATAATGGACCTTAGAAATGGGAAGTATTAATGGGATATGATTGGAACTAGGTAGGTAGGACTCCCGTGGAATACTAAACCCAAATATAGAAGTTTGACCCCAGTTGACCCCTGGGTGAGTTTTAGTTGACTTTTGGGCGTTTTGACCGCAAACTTGCATGGAAAACCCCGAGATTAAAACAGGATAATGGCGTATTCCCCAGTCCAACCCCTAGAAATGAGAATGGGTCACCTTGCAAAAAGTTGGGTGGAAACTTCATATATTGGTAGGTAGAGCAGAAGCTGATAGAGATATATCTTTTACATAGCAACCTTGGAGTAGTCGAGTTAACTCAAAATGGACTTGGTAAACATTGGGTTCAGTTTAGCTTGGTGAGTGATCTTTTAATAGCAATTCAACTTGACTAAAGAAAATTGTCACAGAAAAATTGATAGTAACAGGACCGCGGCATGAGAGTTAAGTTTCCTAAATAGTATGAATGGACAGGGATTTTGCTTGGCCTACCGGCGGTGACTTTCTGGTTTGATTTGACCTCTATTAGACGAACTACGATCCTTTGATAGCTAGAAAATCGGGATTAGAATAGAGTACAGATAGAAAATTTAGATGCCTGAAATTAGATAGCTATCAATGAAAAGGGCCTCTCCCTACCCTTGGGAGGTCGGAACGTTAACGGGATAATAAAAAAAAAGACCTTGGGAGTGTCACTGAGTAAACATAGCATGCTTTGGAGGTTGAGTTGAACTCGAGGGCTGAAGTCACTGAGGTCAGGAATTTGCTGATTAGAATCGTATGACAATTGTTTGCTTGGTCAAATTGTGACACCTACCGCATACCGGGTATCTAATAATGTGAAAAGATTGATAAAAGAAACCGAAGTTGGCACGTGGCAGAGTTGACAGGAGGAGGGATATAGTCTTAAAACATGTGCGGACGGGTGATTTAGGCGGATGTCAGGTATGATAGGGAATGGCGTGAATTAAGTAAAACTAAGTGTAAAGAAAGATAAGGAATTGGAGGGTACCGGAGAGCCTTTAAGAGTCAGAACAGTGTTAGCTACCATTAAGAGTAGTTGGTTCTCGTCAGAGAAGAGAACAGTTGTCGGCTAGTATTAAGAGTAGTTGGTTCTCAATCAGAGAAGAGAACAATTATTGCTAGTGAGCGAGTTGCGCTGAAATCCGAATTTATTACCGGGTTGAAATATTTGTGCGAGCGAGTTGCGCTGGAACCCGAGTTTAGTACCGGTTTGAACTAGTTGTGTCGCTGCTCTGCTAGAGTAGGCGAGTTTTGAATCGAGTCAACCGAAAACTGAAGAGAGATTGAACGGAACGGGACGCGGGATTCAATATAGAAGTTGCTAAATAGTAGTTAGCTCATTAAGGGCACTGTAAACTGTTTTATTTCCTTTGCGATTGAGAATTTAGTCATTGTGCCCACGATTTGCTGAACTAGCTAGAAGCGTAAAAGGAGAGCCGAAAAGAGCAGAAATTAAGGGGGAAGTTGCATAATCGGCCGATTTAGTGTAACCACCAACATAAACTTTTTGGGATTGTGGATCAAATCGTGTCATGGTGTCCCCCGCTATTACACGGTATAAAGGGGAGGAACTCTGCGGCCGTTAAGTAGAGTGAAAGTGTGCTTAGAGGAGACGACTCACCGGAAAAAGAATTCACACCTTGACCAGTTTTTCGACCATGACGCGACTAGTTTTTTTACCATGCCGCGACTACTTTTTCGAGCATGCCGCGATTTATTTTCTCCGATTGTGGTTGCATGAAAGTAACAACTTGACATACATAGAGTTTAAGTTCCTGTATATCAGAGTGAGAAAGTGTAATGGCTAGCAGAGTAGGGTTGGACGCCGTAGACATGTATTGGACTAGAGAGGTATGACCAGATACCTGTTGACCTAAGACGATCAAATTTTCGACCACGCCGCGACAAACCGTTTCTAGACCTCGTCCGCTACTAAGTTTCGACCATCGCGATCGAGATACGCTGTTAACATCGCAGAATTAACATGGCGAATTTGAAAAAAAAACAAATCGCAGACCTCGAACCATTTTCAATTTTGATAATAAAATACTTTTATATAAAAATATTTAATTACTTTATAATATAGCGGAAACTCTTTTTTTCAGGGATTCGACCCCCTGCCGACCTAAAGGGTCACCCCTTTGGTACTTTTAAGAACTCCATTTTTGGCCGAACGACCGAAAAATTTTTTAAAGGCTTTTTTGACCTGTTTTTTCAAAACTTTGCCTCTCAGAAAATTTGGCCGTTAATGCTTTAGGAGTTCTCGGAAAATCGAACTAAGAAAAAGGTCAAAATTTTCGAAAATTTTTTGAAAATCGGCCATCCCCCGCCCCTTGAGAAAATCCTAGATCCTCCCCTGTTACGGTCCTACCAAAAAAATGTTGGTCCAACACATCCTATAAAGAACTTTGTTCCTCCATGTTATAGTAAGAAGATATATTATTTCTCCATAACACTGCAGTAGACTTTTTCTCTTCATATAACTGTATTAAAATCTAATTTTTTTTCTCCTTAGAAAAGCAATAAATTTAAAATCTAATTTAAAAAACACTCGCTAAAAACATGATGTTCAAATTTCAACTAATTTTTTCTTGGACACTACGTATAGTTTTTTTTATCAGACTCTGAGAGTAATTTTAATATCAAATAGGCACGACCTCTGATAAACCTCCGATTTTAATATCAAATAAGACGACCTCTGATAAAACTGCAAACGGTTTTTTCGAACATTAAAAAGACATTTCAATATGTGAAATAGCTTTAATTTCAAAAACTTTAAGCTTTAATTTGTTCATAAAAATACTCAAAAAGATGAGATCGACCTATAAAGTACCCAGTTCAATGTGTTTATTTGGTGGCGTTTTTTTTCTTATTATATCTAATATAGTCATTTTAATTTAGGAGTATAACCAATTCACTGGTTCCATTGATCGAAGGGAACAAGATTCTAGCCTCAATTAAGATCCCGGTTTTTCCAAGAGGAGACAATTCGTAACATGCGACAGTTGGATAACTGATTCACGCGCAGTATGCCTCTCGTATCGGATTGTTCAGCTAAGAAAGCGTTGTTCGAATTTTTGCTACTGCCAAATTTATGTTTAACGGAAGAAACGTTTTTATTGGTCCGACGTTACGAAAGTGACGGAATATTTGTGCCCGGGGTTTTTTTTTCTTCAGAAAAATTTAGACTTTTTAACTTGCCATTTTTGACGGAACTTTTCGCAAAGTTATGAGGGTTTAAAGATTGTCATTTCGGCCAATTTGGGACAATAAACGCGCGATTTTTGTCGCGCTTTTAATGGGTAAGCGGAGAACTAATCTGTCGTAGAAATTGTTCCAAATTGGTTAAAGGAAGCTTATTTGCCAAACTGATTTGTTAATGGAAGCAAAATCTTTCACTTTGTACTTTATATGGCGTGTGGGGGGATGATTTCACAAAAATTTCAATTAAAAAAATTTCATTTTATTTTAATACAATTAATTTGCTTCGTGTTATTACTGCTCAATAGACCTTAAAAGGCAGTCGGAACATTCAGGGCTTCGCCCTGATACGAGCAGTCTTGAATAGTTTGGTGATATACAACGGTGTCCAGCAAATGAGACGATAGCTGTTAAGAAAACAAAAAAAGGGGAACTAAGAAGACATTTTAATCTGTAAAACGGCATCATTTGCATGATTTCAAAATCTTATGAAGCTATATGCGAGCCCAGAAAGGATTTTAAAACAATGAAAATCAATTCTGCGTTATTCAAACCCATTCACTCAAAAACTGAAATTTTAATTGAATGAATTTGAATTGTATCACAAGACTTTGAACTGAGTTTTCTGCAAATTGCAGTGTTTTTGCCAAGTTTTGATGAGCCGACCCCTCGCCGCCCTCAGCGAATCGAACCAAGTGTTCTCCCCTTTGGTACTGTTTCCATACGACATCCATTTGCAGCCTACCGACACTAAAGCTTTTCTGTAGGCGTCTTTGGTGTCAGTATAAAGTAAGTTGAGGGAGGGGTGCGAAAAAAAGGTTATTTTTTGGTCAAAACTTAAAAACACAGCGTCAAAATCTATTAAAAAAGTGCCCAAAATTATAATTTTTTCCTGCTTCTTTGAAAATCTTAGAAAAAATTTGAAAAACAAGTCTTAAGATTTTTCGGAAAGCTTGGGAAATCAGTGTACCTTGGGAAAAAAGGTCGACTGAATTTTTCGAAAATTGTTTGAAAATCCCTCTCTCGAAAAAACATAGATCCGCTCCTGTTTAGGTACTAAAAAAAGATTGTCCTGTAGATCCAATTTTCCTAATGCCTGTTCAAAACAGCAACAGTTCAAGTCTTTGTTTTTTTCGGCAAATTTTTCATTTCCATGTTCAGTTTTAGGTAACGCTATTAATGATGGGGAGAAAATTGTCGCATTTTTTTTTAAATCAGGCGTGATTGGAACTAGCAAGCTTCACTTCGACATCTGGGGTGACAGTGTTAATGTTGCGAGCAGAATGTATTCCACTGCAGAGCCTAATAGAATCCAACTAACCGAGAAGGCCAAACTGCTTCTAGAGGAGGAAAAGTGGGGGTGGGGAAGCAACAGCAGGGTTGATGAGATAGCAGGAGGCGAGGGGGAAGGGAGAGGGAGTTGTTTCACATACAGGGGAAAAGTGTGGGTCAAAGGGAAAGGCCACATGGATACATATTACTTCAAGGAACCAAAATAACTTCTAAGAAATTGTTGACTTATTCGTATTTTATAGACTAAATTGGACCTTGTTTACTATCCCCCCTATTGCAAAAGGGGGTAATTCTTTATAACATAAAAGTTAGCGTAGACTTAAATGTTGAAGTAGATTTAGTTCTGCATAGGGGAGGCATTTCTGAACTAGGTACCGTTGGGGGAAAGAGTAAACAAGATCCCCAATGGTAATCAATTTGTGAGTTACATTTTAAAAAAATAAGTGCATATAAATCTCTTTCAAACTTTTCTTTCAGCAAATTATTTATCTTTATAAAAAATATTTACTCACAAAATTAACCACTTGATACGACTTTCTAGTTTCTAACTGTTAAAAAAAATTTTCCTATAAAATCTAGTCTTATGGCTATGTCATCAAAAGTGGGTTACACGAGCCTTGCTTAGTAAACTCAAACACCTTCAGATGAAGAAAAGCTGATCGTTAGACACACATTTTAGGTCAAGTTTCGACCCCCTGCCGACCTAAAGGGTCCCCTTTTGTACTAATCTGACATATCCACTTTTGGCTGACTGATCTTAAAATTTTCTGAAGGCGCCTTTGGCGCCAATATATACTAATTTTGAGAGGGGAGCGCGCGCTGAAATAAAACTTAAAATGAAAAAATTGGTCAAAATTGGGTCTTTATAATGATTTGGGAGAGCTCAGAATTCATTTCAGTCGATTTAAAAAAAACGTTTTTTCCCACTTTTTTTGTTTAATTTATGAATAAAAAACATTTCTTCAGTTTTCACTGGAAGAAAGATCACTTAGCAGGGGCGTATTTAGGAAGGGGGCGGAGGGCGGACGCCCTTCCCCTCAGGGATTCGACCCCTTGCCGACCCGAAGGGTCCCTCCTTTGGTACTTTTTAAGAAATCCATTTTTGGCCGACCGACCCTAAAATTTTTTCTAAAGGCGCCTTTGGCGCCAATATATACTAAATTTGAGGGGGGCGCGCGCGCCAAAAAAACGCAATTTTTTGGTAAAAATTTTCCAAAAAGTACCAAAAACGCATTTTTTGGGCAGTTTTTTCAAAACTTTGCCAGCGGCGCAGAAATTTTGGCTAAAACAGGGACTAAACTGTGCGTAGGGATAGCTCGAAAAATCAATTCGGTCGATCTAAAAAAAAAGGCCGACAAAATTTTTGAAAATCCGCCCCCCCCCCTCGAGAAAATCCTAGATCCGCCCCTGACATTTAGGGTTAAGCCCCGATAAACGAGCAGTCTTGTTGTTGTTCATTTTCCTTCATGAATAAATTTGCTGGCAATCCAAGGTGGCTTTCGAAAAAAATTGAGGTATTTGTATGCGTGCAAAATAGATTGGGTGATTAAAATTTATCGCTTGGACAATGAACGCTTTATTAAGCGGTAAGTCTTGAGCTTTGAAAATCACTTTCTTAAAACAAAAACATATTCATTGTGAGAGAAAACATTTAATTTCAGCTAAATTAAAAACTTTTAAAACGGATATTTTGTAGTGAAGTTCTCAGTATTTGTTTTTACTGCAATAGTTAAACCAAAACAGTGAAAAAAATTATAGACTTCTATATGAGCATAGATATACTTTTGCATTTCAAAGCATGTGAGTATTCTACATGAGTATGTAGCCTTTGTTTCCTTAAGGCAACGTAATCTAAATTGTGATTGAAATGAAATAAAAAAAGACGGAGACGTTTAATGAAAGTATTTCAAAAATTTGCACCACCGGCAGAGTAAAAATGTAGCAAAATTCTTTGGTATCAAAGCATTTTTTATCATTATGGTGGCTATATAACTTGCTAGGGGCTATGATCGGAAAATCTCAAAAACTTCACCTTCTAATTGGGAAAAAGGGTTAGCAAAAACTAGACAAGTCAAAATGTAGACGCTTGCTGGCAATCCAAGGTGGCTTTCGAAAAAAATTGAGCTATTTGTATGCGTGCAAAATAGATTGGGTGATTAAAATCAGCAACAGAGTAACCCCCAATGCAAGCTGAAAGTGGGTGTAGATTGTTAAGTAGATCGTTTCGATTTTTTAACTATCTTTTTTGACGGAAGGATTTTATAACATCCAAAACGTATTATTGTCCTGAGCTCAAAGATACTACACCTGTGAGCGTTTTTTTTTTCAAAGTTATTTTTAAGGGGATTTTAAGATGATTGCCAATGTGGTCAATTTAGGACAATTAACGCGCAATATATTTCGCGTGATTCAATTAAAACCCTCCAAATTGAATTGAGGAAAGCAACGGGCTTTAATTGATACATAAGTACAACGTTGTACTTTATGTGGCGAGCGGGGGATTATTTTCATAAAAAAATTTAAAATAGTTTGAAATATTGTCGTTCGTTTTTTTTTTTAAAATTCATGAAGAATTCATGAAGCGAACACTGATCCATGGATCTCAAAAGGCCGTCGGAATATTCAAGGCGTCGCCCTGATACGAGCAGTCTTGTTTCTACTCAACAACAGAGTAACTGTCATTGACATTATATGTTGAAAAAGTATATCAGCATGAATTCTTCAAATTGTTCCAGCGAACTATATACTCGCGACCCATAAATTGCACAAGGGTTTCATTTTGGTTCCAGGATGACTTTGAAACCATATGCTTTTAATTTCATTTCTGTTTTCACAAAATGGCAAGGGCTGGTTGGTGTTACTAAATAAATGAGACACAAGCAGATAGGTGGAGATTTTGGGGTTTTCACTCGATTGAGCCCAACGAGGAAGAGAACTGTAGTTTTTACTTATCTCACAGATTGCGCTAAGAACTGATTTCATACTGTTCGAAAGTCTATAATATTTTTTGCAATTTTGCCAACAGTTTAAATCAGGTTAACTACGTTTTAGTTATTTACAAATAATGCTTCCAAATTATTGAAAATATTTCAATGAAATGATCAAAATCAAAAAGCCAAAACTCCATCTCAGGTACAAGAATTTTCGAGCTGAGCTTACATCATTGTTGGATTTATATCATGTGGAACATCACGACATGAATACAAAAAAATTCTGGGCGTAAATTGCGCACGAGTTTAGGGCAAGGAATCATTGCACAAATCCAAAAGGATTTCACACAGTTTTTAGAAGTCTATTTTCCAATTCTTTTTTCAACCATTTCAAATTGTATTTTCTAAACCTTTTAATAGGTCAAGGCTGGAAAAACCGCAAGGTTTCATTATCAAACTGGAATGCAAGCTATAATTAAAAGGTTAGGTCTTCGATGCAAGCTGATGCTCCAAATGAAGGAACAAACTTTTCCACTTTCTGATGAAATGCGGTTTGGGTTTTTCCCTCAATCAGGCTGTAGCATAGAAAGTCGCATAGAAAGTAGCATAGAAAGTCACGACCACAGAAAAAGCTTCAAACATCAAGTTTTTACACACAAGCGAAGCTGAGTTTTGCACCACTTGCAATCAAAAATGAATGATTACATAAAAGCGAAGCTGTGCTTCGCAAGCACTAGCGAGAACGACAAAAAGCAGCTCTATGAATAGCCATAAGAAACAATAGAAATAAGCTTCGAATTAGTAAAAATTTTGCTACGTCTCGAATACGATCTACGACCTAGAGATTATGAGCTTCACACGCTAAGCACTCAAACACGGACAATAAGTAAATTACAATCACTAGCCGCAAACGAAGAAGAGAACAAATTCTACGAAATTTCCAATGCTGCAGATCGTGATTATAGCAAATATGCCAACAAATAAGCGAACAATTTTATCTACTATTTAGGTTTTAAAAAAGTTCGTATTGATACACTAACGCTCGGAATCTCGGGACTGTATGGGTTAAAAGATGGAAAAAATGAAAAAAAAAATGGAAAAAAAAGCATTATAAAAATTACAAAATTACATGCGCCAGTAGAAACTTAAAAGGAAGCTTCAAAAAGTAAAAAAACTCAAATTTTGCACGTTGTCATTTAAAATACAGAAAACGAAAAGAAATCACACTCAGAAAATTTATGCAGTTAAAAAATTTCGCGGAAAATACTGAAATGAAAAAATGCTGAAACAGAAACTTTTTTTCCACTGTTACAAGAAAAATATAGTGTTCTTCCTTTCATTTGATGAATTAAAACGCATCAGTTGTGTTTATTGTTGAACAATCAAAAATCAACGCACATGCTATCAAACAGCTAATTCAGCCTCCTACTGAATAAAATCACCATAGATAGCACTGACATTCGACAACTGTAGTCTTGAAGTATCACACTATGCTCCACCTGTGTAAAAAAAAACTTCGATGATGATTTTTGGCATGTATTTTGAAAATAGCTAAAATGGCAAATTTATAACAAAAAGCGCGCAACATTCTGCAGTATATAGCGCGTTAATTATTCCTAAATGCTAAATCAGCCTTTTGAACGCATGCGTTCTTAAAACATGCACAAACGGCAAATTGAATTGTTGCAATTTTGATGCAAGTCATTTGATCAAATTTTTAGGATAAAAAACGTTTAAAACAACTTTTTGGATTTTACATAGCATAAAGTGTGACAAACAAAAAAAGTTTAAGAAAACAGCTATTGTTAGCAATTTTTCCAATTGGACTCAAACTTTTCCAATTGGACTCAAACTTGAAGGAAGAAGATAAAACGACTGTTTTTAAAAAAGAATTGTCATTTGAAGCTCTTTGAACTTTTTTTGTTGTGGACCGATGTAATACCCCGCAAGTCGTTTGGGGAGACGATAACTTGGTTCTAAATAGGGAATTTTCATCCGATCACGATCAAACATTTAAATTGCAGCGTTTAGCAAATTTAATCCAAATAAAGTATTAAGCAAGAAAATCACAACTTGGTCCAGCTTTCACCATATTCAATAGTAAAATTTTAACTCAACTTGGAACAACGTCGATGAACTCAAGGAAATAGAAAGAGTTAGATTGAATTATCAGAGCGTTTTTCATTCTTAGATTTTCGCACAAAAAGAATATCATGCTGTAGCTTTTTGAAATTCAAGATTATTTTTTTAATTTTTTTTTCTCACCGGATCAGATATACAATTTTTCTCATTCTATTGTGACCTGTTTAAGTAAAATTCACTTTCCAAACAAATCGCTTCTTTTTTTCGCGTTTATTGCGCTAGTCATTGCAAACAATTTAATTTCCTTGTACCAAATAAGTTTGATTAACTTAAAAATAATATTCCGTTAAATCACGAGAAAATCTAATTTCTCCCTGTACTTAATTTATCACTGATATCGATCAGAAAGATTTATGAATAAACAATTCTTAGTTTTACACAGAGCAAAAAAAAACGAGAAAAAGTATGACCGATAACACTACTGGGAAAATCTGAGTAAGTAAAACTTTTTTACACAGGGCAAAAAAACGAGAAAAAGTATGACCGATAACACTACTGGGAGAATCTGAGTAAGTAAAACTTTGAGTCTACATTATTTCTTAAATAAGGCACGCCAATTATGATGCTACATAATTGCTGAACGACGCAAGCCAATTATGAAGCATTCCCAGTACAAGTCAACAATGAAAATTTACCGACTAACATGCCTCAATTTATAGAGCGGCCGCATTTTACAAAGTTCTTCAAAACATCCGACCCTGCCCATGTTCAAACCTTATTTTGTTGCGGGTCTCCTTCCCTACCTCAACGTTACAGATCCATGATACCTCGAAGCTTAAGTGCTGTTTGTTGTATAATAGTCAGTATAAATATCCTTAGCTATACGTAATGGCTGGTCATTGATCTTATACACATACTGCAATAAGAGAACACTTTCAAAATGAACATAAATATTTGCGACTTAGGTTGGAAAAAAGAGAGTTCTTACTAGCACACAAGCCAAGCTTTACTTGTTATAAAAAAAACTAAACATATCCAACTGACAGTTGGAAAAGACTAATGAACGCAAGGAAACGCAAGACAAAATATATGCCCCTGATTTATGATTGACTTTTTTTGATAAAAATTAAACCATTTTCAGATACCTCTGGAAAACCTGAAAAGTAACTTCTATTTTTGAAACTTCAAGTCGTTCACTTTTTGGCGCCATTTCTATGTTGTATTTGGAGCGTTCATTTTACCTAAATTTCAGCAGATCAATTTAATTCAAAAAGTGCATTCATAAATGCATCAATATGTATGAATGCACATCTTTGTTATTGGAGCATTTCCAGACCTTTTCCCGAAAAGAAAATCAAAAAAATTATCATGACCTATATAAGTAAAAATTACTTCTTTCTTTTACCTTAATTAAAATCAACTTTTTGAACTAGAAGTCATTCACGTTTATTTGCGGCATTAGCTCTTTGATTTTAGGGCGTAAATGGCTTTCTTTTCAGTAGATGGATTTGGCTTGAGCTTAAAGAAAGATCAGAAGCCCAACAACAGAAATCCAAATTCAAATCGAGCGTGATAAAATTTCAAGAATTTTTTGTGCAAACAGACACCTTCTTTATAAAAAAAAAATTCATTTCTCTCATTGAAACCGAATAATTGTTTGAGGTACATTCAACGCTTGGCAGTTTCAAGTTCATAAAATTTTGATGGCTTCTAAATTTGAGATAAATTGAAATCGATCTTATAAAAGTTAGTCTTCTATTGAGAGAACGATTTGATTTAATTTTTATTGGCCGAACTAATTTAGTGAACGATGATAAAATAAACGACAATTATGAAGTCGACAGAAAATAAGATAGTGAATAGCACCTTTCATAAATATTTAATCAAATAATCAGTTGCTTATAATTAACACAAGAAATTAAACCGAATAAATTACAATAGCCTGATTGACAATTTAACGCTTAGAAAATTAGGCATTTATTTTTTTTACAATATTACATCAATATCAGATGATGTTTTTACTGGATTGCTGCATATATCAAACTTAGGATTTATATCGAAATATAGATCGAACTCTTTTATTTAGACCAATCTCAACTAGACATACTATTTGATCACCAACCACACAAAATCAGAAACGCTTAAATTTTCAATGATCGAATTGATGATCGGCACGTTTTTGCCGACAAGTTGAAACCACCAATTTCAGTGAGATCATTTTAAAATCTAAACAATATAGTGAGTCTATTGACACAAGTTGAATCTAGTCAAATATTCTTTCATTCTGCCATTTGATAACGTCTAACTTCTACTTGAACTTATTGTTTACGTGTTTTATTGATGATTAATATGAGTTTGGATGAATTTCGTTTAAATTGAATCCGAGTTTGAATTGGGTCAGTGATCTGAGGGGTCGATTGGTGGAGGAGATCTGACGTTGCTGCTGGCTGTATCTGTCAGATATAAAGTCGTCTGGGGCGCACCTGAAACATGACATAGTAGTCAGCCAAAACGAAATTCATCGAAGCAAGATGAAAATATCTTTCAAAAGGAAATAAAACACAATCTCAGAAATGAAAATAAAAGGAGACGACAGAAAATACTTCAAAAAAACCTCCCCGGCTTCATTTGCGTGACCTTACTTAATTCTTGGTCATAATAACGATCTGAGACATAAGTTAATCTATTTTTTGCCTCTTTTGAACAAAAGCTGCATTCAAAACTAACCATTCCCCAATATATCCCATGCCACAAAAAATTCTATTGCGCTGCGCTTCCCGAATTCCATCCGACCCATATATTGTAAATGCAAAGAAATCAGTAATTTCCGGAAACATATTAAGACAATTTAAAAGGTAACCTGTAATGGCTCCTGCTGGCGGCGTGTGTTCAATAAACAGATCATCTTTCTGACTCTTGAATTGTTTCCAAACACTGCTTTCGTCTAGCACTTTGGACACCTGAAAAATAGGAACTCATAAACATCAGCGGTTAAACAATTTCCAGAATTATTCCGGGCAAATTTCAGAAAACAAACCCAATAGGCACTATTAATAAACATTTCCAACAGATAGTTGAAAAGGAGTCAATGAACACAAGGAAACAGGAAAAAGGATGATTTGGTTTTTGACAAAATGACTAACTTTCGAATTTTAGAGAAAAAAAATATATGCCCTTTAAGCTTTTTGAATTTCTAGAATAATACATGATTCACACTTTTTTTGATAAAATAAACCCAATTTGAGAAAACTGGATCAGTAAGTAAAGTTTTTATTCCGCTGAGAAATCTGAATTCCTCCATCGAAACTAGAAGTCAGTCACGTCTTCTGTGACCTTTACACTTTTGCTGATCGAAAGTCGAGTTTGCCTTCCTTTTAACAAAGTAAATGAAAAGAACTTAAAAAGAAACCAAAAGTCAATTTAGGCCCGAAAAAAAATTTCCTGAAAAAAAACCATTACTTCATGTATAAGAATCTGAACTACGTTCATCAACTCTTTATAATAATTTGAGACCTTTGAAACATAACCAACTGAAAGTTGGAAAAGAGTAATGAACGAAAGGAAACTGAAAAAAAACCGACTTCGAAAAAAATAGATGACCTTAAAGCTCTTTGAATTTGTAGAACAATTTATGATAGACACTTTTATGTTAACATTAACCCAATTTGAGAAAACTGGATCAATAGGCGAAACTTTTATTTCACTGGGATATCTGATAATTAATTTCCACTTTCGAAATTAGAAGTCGATCACGTCTTTTGTGACCTTTACATTTTTGCTGTTCGATAGTGGATTTTGCCTTCCTTTTAACAATGGAAATGCACTGAACTTAAAATTAAAACACAAGTCAAACCGCGAAAAATCAAAACTGAGCGAGAACAAATTTTCAGACTTTTTCCTAAAAAAAAACTGAAGAAATCAGCTAGACCTATATAAGAATCCTCACTGCGTTCATTACTCTCAAAAAATATGAAGTCAAGGTTAGTAAAACTACAAACTGCAAAAGTATATGAAAATGTTAAACATAGCCAATCGAAGATTGGAAGAGTAATGAACGGAAGTAAACATTAAAAAAACACTGCCTTTCTTGAAAAAATCTCAACTTTCGAATTTCAAAGAAAAAATAGATGCCATTTAAGCTCTTTCAATTTCTAGAACAATTTATGATTGGCACCTTTTTGATAACATGAACCTTTTTTTGATAACATGAACCTAACTTGAGAAAACTAAATCAATAGGAAAAGTTTTCATTCCGCTAATTCCACGGAATATTTGGACTTTGGAGAGTGTTATATACGTCATTTTCAGCAGATAAATTTGAATTGAACTCAAAAAGTGCATTATACCTAAGTGCATCAATATTTTGGGACTTTTTCCGGAAAAAAAAACAAATCAGCAAGACCTATATAAGAGTCTTCAATACGTTCATTACTCTTGAAAGCAACTAAAAAAACTGCATTCAGCAAAAAAAAATTACAAGATGTGGCAAATAAGTCGACAGAACATAATCAGACATATCATAGGCCGACAATTTTTTAGAAACGGAGTTTTTCCCGTTTGAAAAAAACAGGACCTCACGGACAAAATAAAAGATATTCACGGACAAGATAAAAGATACATCAATTTCTACAAAGTACTGTCAACAAATTGTTAAACATTGGGTAGCAATCAAATCATACATACCTCATCTCCTAGCACTGGATCTCTGCTCATGGCCTTAAGGGCATCTACGATATGTGCCTGGACTGACTTCCGGTTTGAGAGACCATCTAGGGGTTTGCTTAGAAGACTGAGCAGGAACTCGATCAGCTCCGCGTCTAGTGCCTAAAATTGCAACAAATACAAGGGCTTCAAAATTTGCAGATGCATACATGTTCAAAGCTTATTTGAAAAGCAATCCTTAAAATCGCATAATTTTTTTTGCATACATCTCTATAGACCAAGCAATTTTTGCTCATCAAAATTTTTTTTTTCATTATTTTGAATTATTAAATTGAACGTGGTCAATTGAAAACTGAAAATGCATACTAAAGTTTGTCGAATAGGCTAAATTTTTTTGCGACAATTTTGTCTTCCATAATATCTTGCTGTAGTTTGAATAGAGTGACTGACCTGTCTGACTAGATGCGTGTCTCCTGTGGTGAACATCTTGTTGATTGCTTCACAAGCGAATCCGAGAGAATCGGGATGAGTCCTCATTGTCACCATCAGGGGCTCCACAACCTTACACTTCGACAGTTCCTTCACACAGAGCTTAAATACAAACTCAAATAGCCAATAGAAAAATTGCAAACTTTTTTATTCGAGAAAAACTCCACCACCTTACACTTCGACAGTTCCTTCACACCGAGCTTAAATACAAACTCAAATAGCCAATAGAAAAATTACAAACTTTTTTATTCGAGAAAAACTGCATATGCAAAATTTAACCCGAAATCTCTCATCACAAAAGATTCAACCGTTGGTCCAGTTTTTCATTTATTTAAAGAACTCACTGGATCTGCAGCTAGGATGTGCACTACTTTCACAGCTGCAATACTGATGCACGTCTGTTGTGAGGTGAGTGCCTGGACAATGGAGGGAATGCATCCCGTCTCACACACCCGAGGCAGAAGAGCACTCTGGCCTTGGAAGAACACTCCCATTCCGGAGATCACCAGCTCCACCTCTGCCTCCTGAATTAATTTGAGACTTTTTACGCCAAGATAATTACAAGTATACCAGATTTGGGAAACGATATCACGGCGATCAAGCATTAATGCGTTTCTTTCAAGAATTTCAAATTGTGATCTTACTTGAACATTTCTTGTTGTACACTGCTCTTTGAACTTGACCAGCAATTCGGTCATGAACTCCATCGGCCTTCTCACACCCCAGCCAGGTTGCGACACATAAATACTCAAAATAACTCCATCAATTATCAGTCCACCTGGCCGAGTACCCTCCACGTAGAAATCTTTTGGAAGAGAGAAGGTGAAATTTGGATCCTTCAACTGTTCAGTAACCAACTGTTGTCTCAATTTACGAACTGTTTTCTTCACTTTTTCTCGGGTTTCATCCTTCCATATCAACTCCGGATTCTCGTGAACACCTAGGTATATTCTTAATGCTATGAAAGAATTTGAAATTAATTTGCAAGGCCTGTTTCTAAAAAGCAGTAAAAACCCACGTGTCAGTTAAAGCACCAATGGTACAGTTAGTGGTAGTTAATTTCATAATTTATATTTAACTGCCAATTTTTAAATCCAAGGTGCGAAAAATGCTGCATCTATATAACAGGATCATCATTCAGTTTATAGCACTCCAATCAGAGTAAAGCGTTCAATTTTACTTTATGGCATATTTCCAACAAAATTCATGACTTACTTTCAAACAAATGTACACTTTGCTCTGCATTGTCTCGCATCGCGTCCATGAAAAGTGGCGGAAGAAACTGCTTCAAAAATATCGTCACTTCCGCTCCATACAAAGTCGTCGAAATGAACTTCGCAAAGAGCTCTGCCGACTTCGTTCGTATTTTCGGATCTCTGGAACTGCAGAACTCGTGTAAAACGTAAACAAAGGCTCCTTTTCGTTTGCACTCTTTAACTATTTCTCTGTTTGAGGCAAGGTGGTGAAGACACTCTAGGATGTCCAGAACCGAGGGTGGATGTTGTTCGAAGCAGACGAGAAGAAACCCGAGCACCTGTGACTCGGCAATGCTGTTCACGCACTCTTTGTTGGACACAACACAGCTTATGACCTGAACGAATACATAGGTTTAGGAGATGAACTTTCACCAACGCATCTTCTTGAGTTACAGTAGATGGTATCTATCAAGTTAGACGCCAACCTACCCAGCAAGCACAACATCTGACCATTAAATCTTCAAATACCATGCTCTTATGTGGCAGATTACATAAAATTTCAGTATCATAAAAGGTTGGCAAAACAGCAGATTTCAATTTTAAATTAAAATTTTAGTTCCAAACACGTGACTCATGACAACCTAATTATAACTTAAGTCTACCCTGGGACTTCGTTCATATTCGTTTGGCCCAGTTTTGAAGCGGACAAAACTTTGCAACATTCACTTTCGTGCATAACTGTATAACAAGTTCTTTTGGTTGTCTTATCACCAACCAAACTAATATAACCGATCGAAGCTTGCAAAAGAGTAATGAACGCAAGGAAACATAAAAAACACTGGCTTTGTTGAAAAAATCACAACTTTCGAAACTCAAAGAAAAAAATAGATGCCGTTTAAGCTCTTTGAAATTCTAGAACGATTTATGATTGGCGCTTTTCCGATAACATTAAACCAAGTTGAGAAAACTGGATCAGCAGGTTAAGTTTATTCCGCTGGAAATCTGAAAACTAAACACCACTTTCGAAACTAGAAATCGTTCACGAATTTTCGCGCCATTTGCACGTTCGTTTTTGGAGAGTGCTATATACGTCAATTTCGGCAGATTTCAATTGAACTCAAAACAAAGCATATATACCTAAGTGCATTAATATTTTAAGACTTTATCCTTAACAAAAAAATCAGCAAGACCTATATAAACGTATTCACTACGTTCATTACTCTTAAAAGATGCTGTTATTTAAACAATACAGTAATTAAATAATGTTGCCCAGTAACTACCTATTCAAATAACTTAGCCCATAATAAAACGAACATGTGCTATTTACGTCACTTTCAGCAGATGAATTTCAATTGAACTCAAAAAAGCATATATACCTAAAAGCATTCATAAATGCATCAATATGTATGAATGCATATATGTAGTTATTAGAGACTTTTCCTGAAAAAAAAGCAAAACTGAAAATCAGCAAGACCTATATAAGAGTATTCATTACGTTCGTTACTCTAATTAGAAATAACCCTCGAGGTAGTACAAATTCGGCTAGCTGTGAGATTCAAACCCACGAACTGGAGATTAAGAATCGCTCACACTAACCCCTCAGCCACGGAATCTTAATAGGCACCAAACACTAGCCACAACTTCAGCAGAAAAGAGATGCTATGTAATTTCCAATGCTACATTGAAAATCTCAATTAAGTCAACCCTTTTAATGGACACTTTTATTTGCGAGTTGGGTTAGAAAAAGGCAGGCTCGTAATAATACACTAAGCTGATCGCAAAAGTAACAAGGAGGCGAAGATTCGCTTCGCAAACACTTCGAGAAGAGAACACAAAAAGCAGCTCTATAAAATGCAATAACCAAAAATTAGAATTAAGTCTTGAATTAGTAAAACAAACCACACACAAGCAACTCAGCCACGATTGCTTAATAGATACCAAACACTAGCCACAACTTCAGCAGAGAACAGACGCTATGCAATATCCACTGCTTCATTAAAACTTCCAAATAATTGAACAATTTTATTTGCGAGTTAAGTTAAAAAAACAAAAGAAGGTCCGTAATAACACACTAAGCTGATCGCAAGAGTAAACATGCAGCGCTTAGCAAACTTAATCCGAAGTAAATGCTGAGGTCGAAGATCTTCATTTGGACTACTTTTAACCCTGCTCTACAATTAAATTTTTAAAATTATAGTTGGAAGAATCTCAAGGAAACCGAAAAAAAAACTGATGCATTTTATGAACATTTTTCAACTTTCAAACTTTGGAGAGAAAAATTCCACTCAAAGGACTTCGTTCATATTCGCGTGGCCCAGTTTTAAGCGGACAAAACTTTGCAACATTCACTACTGTGCAAAACTGTAAAACAAGTTATTTTGTTGTCCTATCACCAACCAAACTAATATAACCGATCGAAGCTTGCAAAAGAGTAATGAACGCAAGGAAACATAAAAAACACTGGCTTTGTTGAAAAAATCACAACTTTCGAAACTCAAAGAAAAAAATAGATGCCGTTTAAGCTCTTTGAAATTCTAGAACGATTTATGATTGGCGCTTTTCCGATAACATTAAACCAAGTTGAGAAAACTGGATCAGCAGGTTAAGTTTTTATTCCGCTGTAAATCTGAAAACTAAACACCACTTTCGAAACTAGAAATCGTTCACGAATTTTTGCACCATTTGCACGTTCGTATTTGGAGTGTGCTACTTACGTCACTTTCAGCAGATGAATTTCAATTAACTCAAAAAGTGCATATATAACTAACAGCATTCATAAATGCATATCTGTAGTTATTAGACTTTTCCTGAAAAAAAAAACTAAAAAGCAGCAAGACCTATATAAGAGTATTCACTATGTTCGTTACTCTAATTAGAAATAACCCTCGAATTAGTAAAAAGTCGGCTACCTGTGAGATTCAAACCCACGAACTGGAGATTAAGAATCGCTCACACAAACCCCTCAGCCACGGAAGCTTGATAGGCACCAAACACTAGCCACAACTTCAGCAGAAAAGAGATGTTATGCACTTTCCAATGCTACAGTGAAATTCTCAAATAAGTCAACCCTTTTAATCGACACTTTTATTTGCGAGTAGGGTTAGAAAAAAAGCAGGCTCGTAATAATACACTAAGCTGATCGCAAAAGTAACAAGGAGGCGAAGGTTTGCTTCGCAAACACACTTAAGAGAAGAGAACACGACAAAAAGCAGCTCTGTAAAATGCATTAACAAAAATTAGAATTAAGTCTCGAATTAGTAAAACAAACCACACAGAAACCACTCAGCCACGGTTGCTTAATAGATACTAAACACTAGTCACAACTTCAGCACAGAACAGATGCTATGCAATATCCACTACTTCATTAAAATTTTCAAATAATTGAACACTTTTATTTGCGAGTTATGTTGGAAAAACAGCAGAAGGTTCGTAATAACACACTAAGCTGATCGCAAGAGTAAACATGCAGCGCTTAGCACATTTAATCCGAATTAAATGCTGAGGTGGAAGAGTATCAATTGGACTACTTTTAACCATGCTCTATAGTTAAATTTTTAAAATTATAGTTGAAAGAACCTCAAGGAAACCGAAAAAAACTGATGCACTTTATGAACATTTTTCAACTTTCATATTTTGGAGAGAAAAATTCCACTCTGACTACTTTTGAAATTCATGAACATTTTATGATTTTTCTCTTCAAAAAAACTAACTCAATTAGACAAAACTAGATCAAAATGTTCTTTTCATTCCAATGTGAACTCTCCGAGTAAAACGCACTGTCGAAACTAAAATATATTTTTTTCGCGTTATTTGCACATTACTTATTGGATACCGTATTTTGCCTACCATAATTTAGTTAATTACAAATAATCTTAAGTCAAACCACGAAAAATCACATTTGAGCGTGAACGACTTTTCTGGAAATGGAAAAAAAAGAAAAACCCACAAGGCGTAAATAAATATCTTCTTTTCGCTTACTAACACAAACATACTAGACAGAAAAAAAATCGAATTTTAAAGAAAAACCATATGCCCTTAAAGCTCTTTGAACTTCAAGAACAATTTATGATTCGTGCTTTTTTGATAAAATTAACCCAATTTGACAAAACTGATCAATCAGTAAAGTTTTTTTTTCGCTGCGAAACCTGAAAATTAAATTCCTCCTTCGAAACTAGAAATCGATCACGTCTTTTGTGGCCTTTACAATTCTGCTGATCGATGGTGGAGTTTGCCTTCCTTTTAACATTGGAAATGAACTGGAAGAAATCAAAAGTCAAACCGCGAAAAATCAAAACCGTTCCAAAAAAACACAAAAACATCTATTGTTTCCAAAATCTGGTGAAGATCTGAAAAAATTAATTCGGACACCTTCTTCATAGGCTACCGCTCTAGATCCATCACTGGCGTTAAACTATACACACGATGAACTTTCAGTTATTAAGTGGAGTGGTGACTCAGACTTGTTTTTAGAATCATGTAGAACACAAGTTGATTCTAATTTGCATGATGGTCATATACTTAGGGGTAGAAGCCCTCAGTGAGCACACTTATCAAATTGGTTGATCACACGCAATCACAAAAACTGATGTCAATAATGATTTTCTAATCAAACTCAAGTTAAATTTAATTTGGGGCGTCTGTGACTATAATGTATGATATTTAGATTGTTGTGTGGTACAGTAAAATCAACTCAAAGTTTCGCGGGAGATCATTCTTACCTGTAGTGCTGAATCGGTTTTGCCCTGAACAGTCCAACCCTTTTTCGATTAAATTTTTTTTTTAAATTTAATTACTACGTCCAACTAACAGTGAACATTAAACAATAAAACATAATGTGACTTCTAACCTCCAAAGCTTTGGCTTGAAGTTGCAGTTTTGACAGTGGGAAATTGACCAAAAGAGAGAAAAGTAGTTTGAAGTGTCCAATACATTCTTTCTCCACTCCTAATAAAAAGAGTTGTTTATACTTCAGATGTTTCTGCGATATTCAATGATCGGTTAAAAAAACCCGATAAAAAAGGAAAATACAATCAATGAATGATATCATAGCCAGGTGCGGATCTAGGATTTTCTCGACGGGGGAGGGGGCGGATTTTGTCGACAATTTTGTCGACCTTTTAGGTCGAACAAATTGATTTTCTGAGCTCTCTCAAATCATTATAAAGGCCCTATTTTGACCCAACTTTCTGCGCCGTAGTCAAATTTTTGAAAGAACATGCTGAAAAGGCGTTTTCAGGCACTTTTTGGAAAATTTTGACCAAAAAAGTGGTCTCTCAAAATTAGACAAAGGAGGACCCTTTGATTCGCAGGGTGTCGAATCCTTGCGAAGGGCGTCCATCCCCCCTTCCCCTAAATCCGCTACTGATCATAACAGCAGGATCTGAAAATTTGAACCTAGAGTTGGAATCTTCAATCAAATTCTGCGCCTAAAACATTTTCTCATTTTAAAAAACCTTTTGGACCGGTTATTAACTCCAATACCTGACAGATAGGGGTTAAACATCCGTGTAAATACCTGACAGATAGGGTCATTATCATTATATCCGTGCTTATATTTACCGTAAATCACTTTTTCGATTCAAATTAACTCACCCTGGTTAGTCTTGATGCAGTTTTTAAGTGCTACTAGAGCTTGGGACACATTTTTCAGTCTTGCATTTCTCTCTTCAGCCAGAGTGAGGTGTTTCCCGCTGCCGTTAGTAGGAGTGCTCAAATCTATCAAGTTGTTATTAGGACTAGCTCCTCCTCCGTTCTCCATACTGTGTATCGACTGCATGTATTCCGCCTCGGAGCCCACGAAAACGATCAGGTTCTGAAAAAGGCGATAAGTATTTATTTTTCTTGATAGTGCAACTGAATCGATACACAGAGGCAAAGCAGAGCTTTGCAACACTTGCGATGCAACAAAAACATTGCAATACAAGATAGTGAAAAGAACAAGAGACGGATTTTTTTATTACTTGAAAAAAGTCGGAACATCACACCTTGTCTAGGAAAATATTATTAACAACCTTACAAAGGATTGAGAAACCTTTATCGAGCAATCAGTGAGGCGGCAAAAAGTGGGTCGAGCCCTGCTAAGCCGAAAACAGAACTGTTGTCACAAAGTTTTAAGCTAATAAATTTTGAAGTGGGTGCTAAGCCATAATAGATGGATCGTAAACCATCCCCCTGAAACTTACAAAAGCATGAAAAAAACATCGGCCTTCGAGACGGCGTAATATATCATGACTAAGCCGATATAACTTGAAGCGAAAAAATTAGATGAAAAAAACTACATTATCAGAATTTTTACAAATTACCAAATAATTTTCAACCAAGTGGCGAAGCTGGAGCTTCGCAAACACGAGCTAAAAGCCGGCAAAGCTTAAGGAGCTTTAAAAAGCACAAAAATACTGTCTTTTCATGTAATAATTTGGAATCTAATAAGCTAAGGGCAACTATACACTAACTTGAAATAAATTAGAGTGGATTGAAGTAAATTGTGGATAAATTATGCATTTTCAACTTGAAGTAAATTGTGGATAAATTATGCATTTTCAATTATCTCGCAAAGTAATTCGGATACGAAAAATTTTGAAATGGGATTTTAATTATTATACTCTTGACTAAAAATAGTTTTTTTTCGGTTCAATTAATAAAATAAAAGCCAGTGTTAGTTTATTACTAATCAAATGTCAAAGCAATTGGGGTTATACTCTGCTAAGGTAGCTTACTGCTTAAAAGAGCCACCAAAAGTAGCACTTATACTTGCGACTTAGGTTGAAAAAAAAAGCTGCACTATGATAGTGTAATTATAGTATAAACGGTTTAAACTAAAATAAAAAACCAAAATCATAACAAAACCAACAGATAGTCGGAAAAGAGTCAATGAATGCAAGTAAGCAGAAAAAAAACTACAGACTTGTTTTCTGAAAAATCTCATCTTTCGAATGAAAATCTCAGCTGGGAAATCTAATAATTTATTTCCATTTTCAAAAATTTGCTGTTCGATAGTGGAGTTTGCCTTCCTTTTAACAATGGAAATCCATTGAACTCAAAAAGAAATCACAAGTCAAACCGCGAAAAATCAAAACTGAGCGTGAACAAAAATTAAAATTTTTTCCTGAAAAAAAAAACAAAAAAAAATCAGCAAGGCCTATATAAGAGTCCTCTCTACGTTCATTACTCTTATAAATTAAGTGGCCCATTTAAAGATTATACAGTTGTACTGCAAGTATTCGTTTTTTATGTCTAGAATCTTGCAAAAAAAATTCAAATTAAAAAACCCAACTACTGACCTTAGCAAACGTCTTTGCGTCTTCCAGTTGGAAAGTGGGCTGCTCATTATACACTCTCACGTATATATCTCCCACAACCAGCTCCTCCCGATGACATGAGAAGACGAAATCAGAGCCAAAACTGGCATCGCATTCTCCCGTCCGCAACATCTCATGTTGATTCCTCTTGATGTACTCCAGGAGTTCGGTTCGGGTTCCGTTGTCCCAGATCAAGTATGGATTCTCTGTATTTCCATTCAGTAGTTTTAGGAACTGCAATAAAACAGATTTCTTGAACCCTTATTAAGTTGAAAATAGCATCCGACATTCACCTCATTTCAGATATAAAACCCTACAAGTCGTTTATACTCATAACATTTTTTCCAGAACTGTTTAAATTTTCCAGATACATTAACAATTTTGTTCTAGCAATATGCAGAAAGGAAAAACCTTCAGATCTGAGCTCAAGGATCTGAACTAATTTTAAAAATTCTTACCTCATAATCTGACTTTTCTACCATGCATCGGTACAGATAGGGAGTGAGCAGTGCACTAATGCATGCTCGCACAGTGGCATTCTCAGGATACTCGATTCCGTCGTCATTTTCGAATCCATCATCGACAATTTCATCCCCACTGCCTTCGCCTCCAGTACCTGAATTAATCTACATCTTTTTACAAGTAGCGTATTTCAACGGAGCGGCTTCACGGGTCTCATATAATCGAAAAAAGCAGATGTTGAGGTAAGTTTCTACGCACAGGAATAAATAAGAACGGTCATACTATAATCACCTTACACCTATTTTTATGGAGATCACATCTTCGGCTGTTAATTTCATGGATTCAAAAATGCAGCGCCTAAAATTTTCCTACGTTTAAGCCACCTCTAAATCAGGCAAGATTAGAAAGACCCCTTTTAAGTATCATTAATTATGTGACATTTTGAGCCTCTTTCTGGTTGATTTAAAAGTTCATTTTCTGAGGGATCATGTAAAACCATTTCCTCCTTAAAGTAACCATTTCAAAAATCAAGTTGAATTGTAATTTCATGCAGCATGTCAAAATACACAATCCTTAGTTCTGATAGGCTGAAAACAATGTTTTTTATACAAATTGAACCCTGCGCAGCGTAAACACAAGTTAGAAATAAACTCAAGAAAACCAAAAAACGGTCAAGAATCCAAAGTCAATTGGCAGGGGCAAATTTGGGGGGGACGCTTTGTGACATGATGTTTCTTCTGAAGTACTTGTCAAAATAGGTGTTTTTGGAGAGCTCGGAAATTGAACTTGGTCGACTTTAAAAAAGTCCACTAAAATTTTAAACAGAGGCGCAGCGGAGCTTCGCACTTGTGATGCAACTAGATCTATTAAAATGAATGAAGATATTGAAGAAAAAACATGTCCAGACAATAGACAGAAAAATCAGCATCGGAACACAAATAAAGCAGCTACCTATCCTAACAAATTGCCGATTCTTTGCAGCAAAAATGGCACCGAATAAAAAGACACAATTTTGCAAGGAAAAGTTTGAAATATCACAAACTGAAGGCATCCTCACTAATTTTGCATGTAATAGATTGAAGAGCATAAAGCCAAATTATGTATTTCAACAAACTGCTAGATATACTCAGTTAGAAAAATTCTAAAATCGAGTTTTTTTATCAATGTTATGTTGTTTGAAACAAATAACTTTTTTTCAGTTCATTTGATGAATTTACACAGGCGAAGTTGCACTTGGCATACAAGCAAAAATATGACCGATAATGGTACTGCAAAAAGCCAATGAGTATCACTTTGAGTCTAAATAATTTCTTAAGTGACGCAAGCTAATTATGAGCCTACATAATTGCTAAATGACGCAAGCCAATTATGCCGCATAATCATTCAATTTGAAAAAAGAAACTTACCAACCAATATGCCTCAATTTACATAGCGGACACAGTTCGACTAGTATACGAAAAAGTTAATTAAAACATCCGACCCTGCCCAGGTTCGAACCCTTTTATTTTGTTGCAGGTCTCCTTCCCTACCTCTACGCTACATATCCATGATACCTTGAAGCTAGAGTGCTACTTGTAATAAAAAAATGTGTTAATATCCTTAGAATTGGCTGTACTTAATAGCTGGTTATTGATCTTATGCACATACTTCCATAAAAAGAACACTTGCAAAATGAACACTAATATTTGCGACTTAGGTTAAGTTATTATTATTCGAATGTCAAAGCAGATGATATCAAAGAGCCATAAAGGTGCCCCAAAAGTGGCACCAATAGTTGCGACTTAGGTTAGAAAAAAAAAGAAAAATAGAATAACACTAACGCTCACTCAAGTTCACTACTAAGATGAATAAAATAGATCGGTTGAAAAAGGGCGGGAAACAGGAATTGAGATGAATACCAAAAACCTTCTAAAAAAGAAAAACTTACGTACATACATATCAAAAAGAAACAAGAACTGCTTTGAAAACATATGATTCGGAAATTAAAAACATAGCCAAGAGACAGTTGGAAAAAAGTCAATGCACCCAATAAAACACGGGATAAAATTGACTTGAAAAAACTTTCGAATTTCAAAGAAAAAATATATATACTTTTGAATTGCAAGACCAATTCATGATTTGCAACTTTTTGATAAAAAAATTAACCCAATTTGATAAAAACTGGATCAATAGCTAATTTTTTTTATTCCGCTGGGAAATCTGAAAAATAATATTCACTTTCGAAACTAGTAGTCGATCACGTTTTTGGCTACCTTCACACTTTTGCTGTTCGATAGAGGAGTTTGTCTTCATTTTAACAAAGGAAACAAACTAAACTTGAAAAAAATCAAAGTCAAACAAAAAAAATCAAATTTTTGCGTGAACAAAGTTTAAGATTTTTTCCTGATAAAAAAAAACCACCAAGACCTATATAAGAGTCTCCACTACTGTAAGTGATTTTTAATAAATTCAAAAAAAAACAGCGTTGAGCTGATTTTTTGGTGTTTCAGCGGCATTTCATAAGGATTGCGTAACAACAGGTCATCTTTTTTACACAACATATTAATTCTCTCGATCACTACCTACCCCCTGACATCAACTCTTCCTCTTGAGGTCCCGATCCAACACCCTGACCATTCGACATCGGACCTCCATTGGTCATTGCAGTTCCATTCGCCACACCTCCAACACCCTCGCCATTGGGCGATCCAATTTCGGGACTATTCGCAATCATCTGCTGTTGCATGTTTCCTGCATCTCCCGAACTCATTGCCAAAGAGTAGTGGGATTTCTTCTTCCTCATGTTTGAAGGTCTTCTGACACAGCCTCCGAATCCGGCAAGCTTTCTTAAGGCGCTCACTGATTTCTTGGCAACTCGGTTCTTGATTTCCTGTAAAATTAAAACCAAAACTGATAACACCTCGGAATAAATCCAGTTATTTTGTTCTATAAATGTTTTTCAACTCTATTTAAACCAAGAGGAATCAATATGGTGTGGTTTTTTGACTTTCCATATACTGTTAAATTCAGTGGAGAAAATACATGTTAATTAACATCCCTTAAACCAACAAGTCACTGCTCGTCGTACCGTTTCGTGTGTGGCAGCATCAGCATTAATTCCTGTAGCCTCATCCAGCGTGTAGTCGTAATTGAAGAGGAATAGCAACAGATGCCACAAAACCCCACTCTCCACCAGAGATGACTGCAGCAGGGAGTCCCTTGCAAACACTCCCGCACACTTGCACGCCTCAATGCACAGAGTCGATAGATGCTGAAACAGTTCTCGAGTGCATATTATTTTAATCAAGCTGACTTTGTTGAAAAAATATGAAGACTTTTTCCTGAAAAAAAAATCAGCAAGACCTATATAAGAGTCTTCACTACGTTCATTACTCTTAAAAATAGATGCCCTTTAAGCTCTTTCAATTTCCAGAACAATTTATGATTGGCGCTTTTTTGATAACAGTAACCCAACTTGAGAAAACTGGATCAACAGGTAAAGTTTTTAGTCCGCTGGAAATCTAAAAATTAAATCCCACTTTCGAAACTAGAATTCGTTCACGAATTTTCGCGCCATTTGCGCGTTCGTATTTGGAGAGTGCTATATACGTCAATTTCGGCAGATTTCAATTGAACTCAAAACAAAGCATATATACCTAAGTGCATTAATATTTTAAGACTTTATCCTTAACAAAAAAATCAGCAAGACCTATATAAACGTATTCACTACGTTCATTACTCTTAAAAGATGCTGTTATTTAAACAATACAGTAATTAAATAATGTTGCCCAGTAACTACCTATTCAAATAACTTAGCCCATAATAAAACGAACCTGAAGTTGATCGAACTGAGCTGCCTATTAAATATATAATTCTGACTAATTATATCCTCACCACATATGTAAAACATTTCGCAACGTCTCCATGAATACGTTGGAAAGGATTTAGTTATATAAAACATACCACAGACAGTTGGAAAAAAGCCATGAACGTCAGGAAACAAAAAAAAACTGACTTACTTTTGAAAAACATATTTTTCGAATTTCAAAAAAATTATGTATTAAAAGACTCAATGAACGCAAATAAAAAGAAAAAAATACTGAATTTTTTGAGATATCAACTTTCAAATTTTCAAAAAAAGGTGACATTAAAGCTCTTTGAATTTCCAGATCAATTTATGATTGAAACCCTTTTGATAAAAATTAAACCAATTTGAGAAAACTGGATCAGCAGGTTAAGTTTTTATTCCGCTGGAAATATAAAAACTAAATACCACTTTTGAAACAAGAAATCGTTCACGAATTTTTGCGCCATTTGCACGTTTGTATTTGGAGAGTACTATTTACGTCACTTTCAGTAGATGAATTTCAATGAACTCGAAAAGTGCATATATACCTAAGTGCATCAATATTTTAACTTTTTCCGGAAAAAAAAACAAAAAAACATCAGCAAAACCTATATAAGAATCTTCACTACGTTCATTACTCTAGATAATACATAATCAACAGACAGTTAGGAAAACCAAAGAATTCAAGGACGCAGAGAAACTACTGTTCTTTAGAGAAAAACTTTCAACTGAGTTTTAGAGAAAAAAATGTATCAGTTGAAAATCTTTAAACTTTAATCTTGGACCAAGTTAACTTCTCCTCAAAGCCGCTGGGGGATTTAATCTTGGTTCTACGTTGGGAATTTTCCTCCAATCCGAATCCAGCATTTACACAGAGGCGAATATTTTCTTATCAAACACTTACGAGACCACGAAAAAAAGCAGCTATAAAGTGCAATGAAAAAAAAACATAGCCTATCGAAGATTGGAAATGAGTAATTACGCAAGTAAAATAAAATTTTTATTAAGCTGACAAAATTGAAAATAAGAATTCACTTTCAAAACTAAGTCGGTCATTTTTTTCGCAACCTTTTTCTTTTGCTGTGGAGTTTGGTTGCATTTTAACAAAGGAAATGAAGTCAACTTAAAAAGAAATCATAAGTCAAACCGCGAAAAATCAAAAGTGAGCGTGAACAAACTTTAACACTTTTTCCTGATAAAAAAATCACCAAGACCTTACTAAGAGTCTTCACTACGTTCATGACTCTTTAAAAACAGTTTCATTTCCGAGTTTCGTTTGTTTCCTTTTTTTCACTGAGGCTTAACAGTGGAAATGTTGATATGTGGAGAAAACAAATTATAAGATCTTCGGGCATAAGAAATGACCTACTGATGAAAAAAATAAAGCCAACTATCGTGGTTTTGGTCCTTGCGAGAAACGTTTGTCGATTTCATTTGATAAACAACCTACCTGAATAGCCATGAGACGACAGAGGTTGTTGACCACTGCTGGCATTTCTAACAGCTCCTTCCTACTGTCTTCGAACTGGGCTGCCACAGTGAAACACATGATCACGTTCTTACACACTTGCACCTGAATCGTCAAAACAACACGTTTTTCAAGGGATGTTCATCTATATGATTGCCCCACAAACTTAGAAAATATCGTTCAAAACTTGCAGAATGACCGATATTTTTGTTTTAACGTATCTCAAAAATTGAACTTGTCTTCTAAACATTCAATTTCACATACGGTGACAGGATTTAAATTGCTACGTTTCACAGACGATGTGATTTGTTGGCAAGACTCGTATCGAACAATGAAACATTGCACGTCTAACTTCTTGGCAAACTTTACCTGGAATTCTTCTACTTTTGAGTCTTTTGTCACAGCTGTGAAGCACTTCAGCATGGCATCCCTGAGTATTAATAATCCATGCTCTCTTCGCAGTTCCTCCGCATTCAGGGCAGAACAGTGGACTGTTTGATATGCCAGTTCTGTGGCTGAGGGCAGCAGAGGCAGTTCTCTGGCGTACAGAGCTTCGTCCTGGATCTCCATTTGGATAGTGGCCAGGAGATTCGGGTATCCCGCATATTTGTAAGGCTGCAGTTCTAATAAAACAAACTTCAAATATTGAGTATCCACACTGAACACGCAAGATAAGAAATACTTTTTGCTATGGCGGTTGCATAGTGAGAATAAAAAATAATTCTCGACTGATAAAGATCAAATTTTTCTCCTTTAGCATGCTTTTAATTGTGACCTCGACGTGTAAATCAGTATACCTTGTGAGTAGTTGTTGAATAGGATGCTCTGTGTTTTCAGCAGCAAGTCAATGTGTACTGGGTTGGGTCCATCTGAGATACTGTTTGCTCTCCTTTGACACAAGAATTCGTACGCAGTATTTACTTCCTCAAAGATCTCCTGGAATAAGAATCAAAGTCAATATTTGCACTTCATTCGGATCATTATTAGCAAAAAAGGGGTTACAAAACCCGCTATTAAAATTAATATCATATGATACCCGACCACAAAAACATTGCGATACAGGACCCAATATTTGCTAGTTGCCAAAATTAACTGTCCAGCTCGAGAAAAAACGGTACATAAGAAGTTGATTGAGCGAAGAAAACAAATTCACAAAAAGATACTTACTCTTCCTTCTGGATTCTTGTCCGGGTGATATTTCTGAGCCAATTTGAAGTACGCTCTTCTCACTTCGCTCTCAGTGTACTCTTGACCCGGAGTCAGACCTAGTTTCTCAAACGCCTCCTTCTCGTTAAACGACCCAGGCTTCTTCGCAACCTCCTTCCTCCATGTATCCAAACAGTCTCTTAGAAGCGCCACTGGATCCCCAACATTCCAATTCGGAAACTTTTGGGTGTTACAAAAGTTTCTCAGGTAGAAAATGTTGACGAACAATTCTCCTTGCAACTGCGGATAGAAAACAACTGGCAACGAGCAGTACTGATAAACTGCTTTGTTATTACTTCTCAATCGTGGCGAAAAGTCAGCAATATGTTGAGCGATCTTCAAGATCAAGTGTTGTCTCATAGAGTTGGACCAGATCGCTTCTGGTGTGTCGTATTCTCCGAGGAACACAGTTGCAAATTGATTAGCACCGTGGTTCTCCAAGAAATAAACCATTGCATGCGGCAAGAGGGCTCCCAATATGCTGGTTCTCATGACGTCGGAATTTGTGTCATCCACTGCTCTGAATGCCTGGCAGCAGAAACATAATTACATATCGCAAACAACAGGACAATCAGAAAAATATTATCAAATCAAACTACGAAAATTTTTTAATCTACGAAATTGCTTATTTAATCACTTTTGACAATTTTCAAACAAAATGTTAACATATCACGATTGTTTCGGTCTCACAAAAGTGGTAACTTGAAACCAAACCTCGTCACAAAAAAAACAGATCAACTCCGTGCCAAAATCGAAGGTCCAAATCAAACTGATTTTGTAGTATAGACTCCTGATAGACATTAATTTTTTGATATTTCTAAGTCCCTGCCTGTTTGGTGTGCGTGTAATGAAGCAGTTCTGAGATGGGGAGGATGTTGGATCCAGTGTACATGAGTATGAAGAAGAAGAGGCCGGAGGTGTAGAGTCGGGACACCAGTGGGTTGTCTAGCATGATGTTATGCACCAGGTACACAGTCTTTTCCACTATCACTGGATCGAATGTCAGCAACAACTAAAATAGATCAAGCTCACTTATCCCGTGTATATGTCATATGTAAACACAGCCAACAGACAGTTGGAAAAGAGTCAATGAACGCAAGTAAACAGAAAAAAATACTGACTTGAAGAAAAAAATTGATGCACTTAAAGCTCTTTGAATTTCTAGAACAATTTTTAACTGACACTTTTTACTTAAATTGACTGAACTTGAAAAAACTGGATTGAAAGGTAAGTTTTTTTATTTCGCTGGGAAATCTGAAAACTAAATTCTAGTTTCGAAACTAGAAATCGATCATTTTTTCGTGACCTTTACACTTTTGGTTTTCGATATTGGAGTTTGCCTTGCTCTTAACAGAAGAAATGAATTGAACTAAAAAAAAACTTAAATTCAAACTGCGAAAAATCAAATTTGAGTCTGAACATAATTCATGACTTTTCCTGAAAATTTTTTTTAAAAAATCATCGCGACCCATATAAGAGTCTGAACTACGTTCATCGACGCTTAATATTATCACATGTATATCTTACAGCAACTTACCAACAGATCAGTACTGCTGAAAATTTGTAATTCTTAAGATGTTTTACTAGTATATGCTAGAAAAAATACTGTTTGCGTCTATTGAGGATCTACTTAAATAGAACTTTAACAATTATTCAAAAACTTTCCGTCAGTTTTCCCTAAATATTTTTTCAGATTTTAAATTTTAAATACAAGGGACGAAATTCTTCCTGTCATTTCCGTACAACTATATTTTAAACCGGTAGTCTTCATTTTTACAGCTAACTAACGCTAATCAGTTTTAACAGTCATAAAAATACGAGTTTGAGAACCTACCTGCACGAGGTGAGGCAAGTTGGCTGGCTCCGACAGCATTCGTCTGATCCTTGGCAGAGGCCTGATGACAGCTCCTGCTGCATCTCTGCTGCTGTAGAGGGAGCATATCTTATTCAGGATGTTCAACACTCTCACACACAGCTCCGACTCATTCATCACTGCCTGGTCATTGGCCAATATTGCCCACTTCAACTGCGAGATATTTCTCATCGTCTTCCAACCTTGGAAAAAATATTTTTAGCCAAATACAGAAAAAAAAGAATTTTCAGATCTTTTTGGCAAATAACATGAATTCAGCTCAAATCTTGACGGCACACGAGTGCATATTAAACTTATTTCATTTATGCGAAATAAAAGTATTTGAATTCGTAACTATTGGACGTACCTTCCATCCCTTGGGCCCAGAATTTCGTCTTCGAGTCAAAAGATCCTTTGCTGAACATTTCTTTCACATCTTCAAATGAGATTGGCCCCTGCTTCTTGTTATCAGTTTGAGTATAGAACCACTCTTTCTCGCTCGAAGCGCCTCCAGTCATTTCAGGGGAAGCTTCGATCAAATTCGACTGCAAAGGCACCGTGGCTCTCGTTGTATGCAAATGAGCTAAGGTCAACAGTTCTACCAACACTTTGACTCCGTTACAGTCCAATAGTAGCTTCGCGTTTCGCTCATTATTCATCAAAGCCTCGATAAACTGCACCAATCGATCTCGCTCGCCTCGCTCATTTGTTTTCTCTAAGTTCTGGAAAATAAACTGAGTGTCGTTGAAAGGACCAATGTCTGTATGGCATTTTCTATATACAATTGTCATCGCTTGCAGACAAATGCACCGCATATCGCTTCTCTGCGATGTCAAAAATCGATGATAGAGATCGTTGAAGAAATCATAGGGGCTCTGGAAAAATAGTTTGTCTTCACTTTCGTCTAAGAGAACCCTTAAGAAATAGTCTCCGATTTTGATCTCTTCTGCAAGACACGTGTAGCGCACTTGGAACTCCCTGTGGTTCCAAGCAATGTTCTCATTTGCCGACAATTCTGTGTCGGTCGTGAATGCTCTCAGTTCATTCTCGAGTGTCTCGCGAACTTCTTCTCTAGTCTAAAAAGCAATCAGTTGGAAAACAACTTTTTGGATTCCCTAGAACGAGAAAAAAAATTCAGATTACAAGCAAAAGAAGGCAATGAGTGTTTTCAATGCTGGTTACCTTGTGGTTCCAGATAAGGTTAGATATCTGGTGGTCCTGGTTGAAGTTGTAGTAGAACAGGGCCCAGTTCTCACCCGCCTTCACCCTTTGTCTCCTCCTCCTCAACACAATCGGTCGGTTCTCCTCTGAACTCTTCTGGTTCAGGCCACCGCCTGCAGAAGGAGGAATGCCCAGCTTGCCTTTCCAGTGGGAGAGATACCTGAAGCCATATGCAACTTGAAACCCATCACACATTCATTAATTAATGTTTCGCAGCAGCGTCACAGAAGTCGAGAAACGTGCTTTTTTCAAGCGTAAACTCAGTTTCCAACGACTGGAAGCTTTACTGGCATTGTTCTACAGCATTAGTCAATGACAGTTAAAAAACAGCCAATGAACGCAAAAAAAAAACAGAAAATAAATACTGACTTTAAAGATTCAGCTTTCGAATGTCAAAGAAAATAGTTGTCTGAATTTCAAGAAAAATTTATGATTGGTGCTTTTTTGATAACATTAACCCAGCTTGAGAAAACTGGATAAATAAGAAAATTTTTATTTCAGCTGGGAAATTTGAAAATCAAAATCCACTTCGAAACTAGAATCGAAACTAGAAGTCGATCACGTTTTTCGTGACTTTTACACATTTTCTGTTCGATATTAGAGTTTGCCTTCCTTTCAACAAATGAAATGAACTGAACTTAAAAAGAAATCAAGCCAAACTGCGAAAAATAAAATTTGAGCCTGAACATATTTCAAGACTTCCTGAAAAAAAAATCATCACGACCCATAGAAGAATCTGAGCTACGTTCATTGACTCCAAAAAAAAATTGGGGAAAATTTTTTTAATGTGGTAAACTTGTTCGAAAACCATCATCACTGAGGCAACCAAAAAGTGGAAACGAAAACGGCAAATTTCGTCAAAATTGATATTTAACATCAATCTACGGTAGGCAGTAGAAATGCAATTCGCTTTAATGAAGAAGCCAGCTAGAGTGTCCCGAAGCTTAACTCGCCACCAGAAAAAGTACAACACTTCACAAGTACCATTCGTGCAGTTTCATTCAAATGTTATCAAACGTTGAAGCTACCTTTCTACTTCATGTGTCGGAATGTTAATGTTGATGAGTTTCTTTGGCTTGGAGCTCTGCTCCTGTGCCACCTTCAAATTGTCCGGTCTGACCAAAAGTAGCTCGAATTCATTCGAGGGCGGTGTCTCGTCTGACAGGAGGAAAGACAAGAGTCCCGCTGGGAATATCCTCTTCAGGAGATCTAGGGCCTCATCGTTGCCTGTGTACCACAGCCCGATCAAGTAGCGACTCAGTTGTCTGTAAAAAAAAAGTCAGTTAGTATCTTGTACCAATTAAACAGAGATTAAAGAATTTTCAACGTTTACAAATTAGTGGTACATAACGCATGAATACTCAATTCATAAATTGTACATGATTCGGTTCGGTACCACTCTGCGTATCTGCAAGGATTCGAACAACTTTATTTAATTAATCTGATTCTTTTTCTTCGTAACCCGGATAATCTCCTATAATCATTAAACAATGGTTTATCATTATAAATTCTAACCTTGACGCCAGCATTTTCCGGTCCACTCCTCTCGCACCAGGTGTGATATCAGTGAACAGTGCTGTCAGCAAATGCTTAGGAAATGCACCTTCCGCAAGTGCCAACTCCTGCATGTGTCTGGCGTTAGTCTCTGTTCCTTCCTCTATCAGAGCTCGCATGATCATACCTGCCGAAATAAATTCGACTCACCTCGAGATATTGTCGATTTTTTTTAGATTTAATCATTATCGTGTTCGAATATGTATGCGGTCGATGAGAAATCAAATTATTTCGTCCGTCTTTAGAAAAAATACCCGACTTCTGTGCAAGTAACAGAGGTTTCGAACGCAGTAACAACTTCGGAACACAACTATAAACACAGAGGTTAAGCTGCGCTCCGCAAACACTAGCAGGAAAACGACAAAAAGCACTTTTTATAAAGTGAAATACGAAAGGAGAGAAAAAGCCTCGAATTAGTAAAACTTTGCTACGCATGGGCCACGAACGCTTAACAACCGTCAAACACTAGTCACAAATAAAGCAGCTACATATGTTAACAAATTGCCAATACCATTCTGCAAAAGTGGCACCGATTACAAATAGACTCAATTTTGCAAGTAATAATTTGGATTATAACAAACTGAAGGCCTCCACACTAACTTTGCATGTAACAAATCGCAATGCATAAAACCACATGATGTATAAATTATGCATTCCAAAAAAATTGCTCTTAGAAGATATTGAGTTAGAAAGTTTCTGTAATCGAGTTTAAAGTATTGTTATGTTGTTTGAAACAAATAACTTGTTTCGGTTCCTTTGATGAATTTAAAATGTATCAACTGTGTTAATTTATTACTATTCGAAAAAAGGTTAGAAAAAATACTCGTACTATAACACTAATGCTCACTAGTCCGTAGGTGTAATACTCAAACTGAATAGATTTTTGTCGATTTTTTTACGGAGGTGAGAGTACGCAAGTTATGCAAAAAAGGGTTTAATCAATTTAAATGACAATTCAAATGTCCTTTTGCGAAATGAAATAGCCAGCGACGATAAAGAGGAGACACCGGAGGCAATGATGGAAAGAAATAGATGAAGTGTCACGAGCGAAAAAAGAATCAGATCAGCGGTTTTTCTCAGCACCGGGGAAACTTTCAGAATCTTTCAAATCAGCTCGAACCTTGGCTAAGAAGGTTTCAATATGATAAAAATCACACAACCATGTACTATGTTTTTATTTGATTCCTAACCTGTCTGCGCTGCAATCACAATTCAAACATTAATTGAAAGGATGAGCTTGCAATTTCGAGTATTTACCTCACATAAGCCTAACCAAAACTGATAGTCTATTTAAAAGACGAAAAAAGCCAATATTTCCATCGAGCAACGTAAATACAGAACAATACTGCTTGAATCAGATTAAAGCCCAGAAGCTTTCCCTTCGCACGCAATATCAAGTACAAATTGAAAAACTTCTCATCTTGTAAGAAGTTATTACTTCATCTTGTAGGAAGTTATTTGGATCATTAAGTTATATCAATGCAATTTGCAACAAATTTATTAACCGCAGACGCTACCCGTTATTAGAAAACTGGTAAATAGCTCCATTAATTATCCTATGTTGGTATTTACCAAACCCTCATAACTTAACGAAAAATAGTCCCGGTTGAAACAAGTTTTTAAATTTAAGCTCATGACATCATAATATTTCAGATGCAGTGAAAATTCTGACGGCTGATTTGAATGCCAAATTTTGTCTGAATAATGCGAAAGTCTGACAATACCATACCGAAACATTCCATCAATTTCTTCAAAAAGGGAAACGAAAAACCGTAGCACACAGAAAAATAAAAAAGTGTCAAAAATTCACAGAAACCGAAAAAAAACTCGGTGGAAAATACATTATTTTTAATCTCTTTGAATGTCCAGAAGCCAATGATTGACACATTTTTGATACAACTAACCCAATCAGAAAAAACTGGATCAATAGATAACTGATATTCCGCTGAAAACTCGTGTTTTCGCGCCGTTTTCACTTGCGTAATTTGAGAGCGATTTGCGTTCATTTTTCGAACAATTTAATTGATTGGTAATATGAAATTTTAGAAAAATCATCAGAAAAATCCCATAACTTTAATTAGGTTCCCCACAAGCATCAAAGTAACTAGCGTTTAACGCACCTCCGGTGCTTCGAATTTTAAACAACTCATAAAAAACCGCATATATTGAAAAAAGATCGGCATACTTTGAGTTTACTCTGACAGCACCCAATTGAGTTGCTAAATTCGTAATTACAAATTTTGCAAGTTTTTTAATACAAATTTTGAAAAACCATAAATTTTTGTGAAAAGTTCCATGAAAAACTCAAAATGAACTAAAAAACGTCGCATCTCGGAAATTAAAAGCAACCGAGCAGTCGCAAATGGAAGCAAGATTTGCCACCCGTGATAGTACTCTTACAGTACCCAGCTACAACGTTGGGAAATTCAAACTTTGAGAAACTTCAAACTTATCTTTTCTAAAAAAAGATATATTTTTTTGAAAACCAGATGAAATGTCACATCTCGAAAATTTCCAAGATTTGAGCTGTCTTATTTGAAGGCAATATTCACAATCCTTGACAGTACTGTGACAGCACACAACTACAGGATTGAAAATTTCAATTTTTGCAATTATGTAATTATAAGTTTTCTGAAAATTACAAAAATCGTCGCATCTCATTAACTAAAAAGATTTGGGCATTCTTAACCCCTGAGGTTACTCTGAGAGCCACAACTCAGTTAAGGAATTTCAAGTTTTGAAAAAAGTTTCAAGTCAAGTTTTCGGAAATTTTTTCGAAAAAATCCCAAAAATGTCATATCTGGGTTTTGAGCAGTCATATTTAGACGCAAAACTTGCAACTCCTGAGAGTACCCTGACAAAGCCTCAATATAGAGATTAGAACTTCAAAATTTGTGAATTTTATATAATCTAAGTTCTCTGAAAAATTTTCGAAATCATCACATCTCGAAAACTACAACGGTTTGAGAAGTGAAATTTGGAGGCAAGATTTGCAACCCATGAAAGTACCCTGACAGCACCCAACTAGTGGGTACAATTTCAAACATTTTCTAGAAAATTTTGAAAAATCTCGAAAATGGCCGTATCTCGTAAATTAAAAGGTTTTGGTTATTCATATATGGAGGCCAGAATCGCAAAAGCTGGGAAAACCCTGACAACATCCCACTATTGAGTTGCTAAATTCAAACTTGATGAAATAAACATTGAACTTGAACTGGAAAACCAAAAAAAAAATTAAACATTGCAATATCGGATATTGAAAATTGAAAAATTGAAAAGCGTACAGCCAAATTTTGTCAAACCTACTGATTTGGAAAATTTCTGAGTTATTAATAGGGCACTGTTGTGTGAAACAAAAGACTTTTTTCGCTTCAATGGATGATTTAAAAAAGAGCCCTTTGTTTTAAATAATAACGAATCAAATGTCAAAGCACGTGGCCTTATATTGGCAATGCGACTTTTAATTGCAACTTGGTTTAAGAAAAAGTTGTATCCTACTATCACACAACGCTTTGCTCTGATCATTTTTTGTCAAGTTCTGGGGCCTCAAAAATTTCCAATTCGCCAAGGCTCTGGACTAATTTATGCGCTCTGTGCAGAATTTATTTGTGATACTAGAAGCATAACGCAATTTATTCAAGCATGGCCAACTGTTCCACACTATACACCCATTCCAAATTGAATTGCGACAATCTATTTGGTCGTATTAAGTTCGCACTACTCAAATAAAACCACTTGATTTGTGATACTGTCTAAAATTTATGGTTTTTAATATTTATGTACCAACAACTATTCGACACCGATTAAGAAAAATTCCGAAAATGAGCATATCTGGTAACGAGCATAACGATCAGTCTGTGTTCATACATTCTTTTAAGTTAATATAAAAGCATATTGTCAGTTTTTTAGGCTGTAACTTGAGCAGTAAAAGTAAAACTAACAACACACCGTTATAAAAGAATCAATGAACGCAAGAAAACAAAAAAACTTCAATTGTACAATTTCAAGTAAAACAAGACTGCTCGTATCAAGGCGAAGCCCTGAATGTTCCGACTGCCTTTTAAGGTTTATGGAGCAGCAGCAATAACATAAAAAAATTAAATGAAATAAAAAAAATGAAAATTTTTTTTCTTAAATTTGAAAATTTTTGTATAAAAATCATCCCCCCACACACCATACAAAGTACAAAAGGATAGATTTCGCTCCTTGTAACAAATCAATTATGGTACATAAGCTTCTTTTAACCAATTTGGAACGATTTCTAAGACGGATTAACTCTCCGCTTACGCGTTAATAGCGCGAAATATATCGCGCGTTAATTGTCCCAAATTGGCCAAAATGGCAATCTTTAAACCCCCGTAACTTTACGAAAAATGATCACAGGTGAAATATCTTTTCAAATTTGAGCTCAGTGCAACAATACCTTTCGAATGATCTAAAAAAAAATTCCGTCAAAAATGGCTAGTTAAAAAGTCGAAATTTGTCTGAAGAAAAAAAACCCACCCGAGCACAAATATTCCGTTACTTTCGTATCGAAAGTCGGAACAATAATATATGCCCAAACGCTCGTTGAATTTCAAGAGCAAAATATGATTGACACTGTTTTGATAAAAATAACCCAATTTGAGACAACTGGATCATAGCTAAATCTTTTATTCTGGAAAATCAAAATATCATTTCGAAACTAGAAGTAGATCATATTTTTCGTGACATTTACGCTTTTGCTGTTCGATAGTTGACGTTGCCTTCCTTTGAACTTAAAAAAAATTAAGTCCAACCGCGAACAATCAAATTTTAGCCTGAACAAACTTCAAGACTTGTTCCCAAAAAAAATCACCAAGACCTATATAAGAGTATTCACTACGTTCATGACTAAAAACAAAATTTTTTAATTTGTCTTTTTTATTGATTTATTTTTGCAACAGCACTAACCTGCACTTTTTGTGATTGACATGGATGGATGTTGGAATAGTTTGAAAATGATTCTGCCCAACTTGGCCACTTTGTCCAATAGCTTATCGAATGTAGCACCATCCGTAGTTTCACTGTAGGGTGCACACAAAGCGTACGTGATGAAATCTAGCAGTGCACTTATGATTAGCGCACCACTGCCTCTGGAGAGGTGGATCGAGAGGAGGTCCAAGAGACTGTCGACGAATTTGTCGGAGGCTAGAAGGGAGGCCTTGTTGTTCTGCTCTTGTTTCAAGTCGTAGTTGTCATGCATCGGCTAAGAATAGGCTCACACTAATCTCATGACAATTTTTGAATTACATCTGGTTTCATATTACAGAGTGAAGGCAAGATCAAACGAACTCTATTACGATTTACTCAAGCGTCAGCTTAAAAATGACGCAGTGCTAGTTTGATATCGAGAACTCTTCTTTTCCAAGACAATCAAATACATTCATCTAAATCTTTCAGAACAAACCTGCATGAGTGCACATAGCATTTCCACAGCTGCATGAGTGACACCACTGTCTGCTCGACGCAACGCTTTCACCACCTTCTTTCCCAGTTTTTCCCTCACACTGAAAAAAAATCAGGATTTAATTTGATGTACATGTACAGAATAGCAGTTGATATTAATTATATTATTTCTATGCTCAACGGTACTAATCCAAACTTTCTTTCCAATTTGATTAACGTTACAAAAAATAATTGCATTTAGGGTGAAAATTAACTACCGACACCACACCCAAAACTAATGTCCATTTTCATCAATGTATGGATTCAATGTTACCAATACCATTAGTATGGTAGGCTTCACACAAACCTAGATTTAAAGTAGGGCTTTTGAATAATGCACTTTATTTAGCCTCAACCACCATGATTAGACAAACACTACAAACCTAACAAATCTTTGAAATTTGCGGCTCCACAGACTAGAAAATTTAAGGTTAACATATTCATGATGTTGCAAAGTTGAACAAGTAGGCGAAGGAATTCTTTGAAAGCCTTTGCGAATAGCTATGAACAAAACAAACATATATTTCCCGTGTATAGAGACACTCGTCAAGACCAAACAGCCAGCCCAAATTGAAGTTGAAATGAAACCTGAAATGAAACCTGATTCTTCCGTAAAAAATCTATTTAAAAAGCAGATGCCCAAAAAAAACATCTAATACAAATACGTCAGTACTTTCTTTGAAAAAATCTTTCGGAGAAAAATGTCCCGAAAAAAATTTCAAATCAGGCAACAGACAGTTGGAATGGTGTCCAAAAAGACAAGAAAGATAAAAAATAGCCCACTGACATTTGGCAAAAGAGCAATGAACTCAAGAAAACAGAAAGAAAACTGATTTAATTTTTGAAAATTCATATTTCGAAATTCAAATAAAAAACAGATGCAATTAAAACACTTTGAATTTCACAAAAAATTATGATTAGCGCTTTCTGAGAAAATGATCCAAAAAGAACTGGACTGAGAACTGGATCAATATGTACAATTTATCTCGCTGGTAAATCTGATAATTAAATTTCATTTTCGAAACAAACGTTTCTACAAGTTTGTTATAAAAGGAAAACAAACTCCTTCATCGAGCGTCAAAGAAAAAAACTTACAAAAAAACTTGAAAATCAAATAGCGAAAAATCATAATTGAGCCTGAACAAATTTTTCGAGTTTTTCCCGAAACTAAAAAAAATTATCAGCACCTTTATAAGAGTTTGAGCTACGTTCATCGACTCATAGAAATTATAATTATCTTCAAAATTAGAAGTAGATCTGCGACCTTTTCACTTTTGATGTTCTATAATGGATTTTGACTTTCTTTTAACAAGAGAAATTAACTGAAATTCTTTTAACAAGGGAAATGAAAAGGAAATGAACTGAAATCAATCGAAAGCCAAACCGCAAAAAACTTAACTTAATCATCACGACCCATACAAATGCCTTTACTTCTTTCATTGACATTTAAAACAACTTACATAGGTGTATTCACTTCGTCCATTAACACATAATCTAACCCAATCTGTCATTAATTTTTTTTGCTCCGCTGGGATGATTTCTAGTCTCCTTTTAAAACTGAAAATCAATCTACTTCTTAGACAATTGTCACTTTTGCCATTGCAATGTGTAACTTGCTTACCATTTAAATTTATTTAAAAGTTCCATTTTCAAAATTGACTTGACTTGAACTTGAAAGGAATTAGGAATTAGGTTGCTTGTACAAACAATATCACGTCTAAATTGAAAGTCTTAATTCCTAAGCCTTAATTCCTTCGTGATTCGATTATCCAGAAACTAAAACAGTCAAACTAGACAGATGATATTCCTGCAAGCAACTATCATCACAGCTGAACAAACAGGACGTTTCGAATAAAAATGTAGACAACAGAAAGTTAGAAAGAAGTTGATGAACTCGGTGAAGCTAAAAACATTGCCAACAGACAGCTGAAAAAGTTTAGAAGAACAAAGAGACCGAAAACAAACTTGCTGGAAAATTTTTGAAAAATTGTTAACATTTCGAAGGAAAAAACATACCACGTTGAAGCGTTTTCGAGCTTCAAAAACTAATTATGTTTAGCACTTTTCTTTGTAAACTTATCCCATTCAGAGAAAACTGGTTGAATGGGTATTTTTTACTCCGCTGGTAATTTAGTAACTTGAATCCCGGCTTTGAAACTAGAAGTTATTCAGGTTTTTCTTGACCATTTCACTTCTGCTGTTCGATAACAAAATTTGCCTCCGCAAAGTTTGGCTTCACAAAGAATTTAACAAAGTATACGAAGTGAACTTAAAAAAATCATAAGCCAAACCGCAAAAATAAAATTTGGACGTAAACAAATTTTAAAACTTTTTTTTCTGAAAAAAAAATTCAAAACTATATGAAATTTGCCATTGAAATGTGTAAATTGCTTACCATTTAAATTTGATTAAAATTTCAATTTTCCAAATTTACTTGACTTGAACTTGAAAGGAAACCAAAGTTAAATGACAAAAAAAACTAGGTTGCTTGTACAAATGATATCACGTCTAAATTGAAAGTCTTAATTCCTAAGCCTTAATTCCTTTGTGATTCGATTATCCAGAAACTAAAACATCCAAACTAGACAGATGATATTCCTGCAAGCAACTATCATCACAGCTGAACAAACAGGACATTTCGAATATAGACAACAGAAAGATAGAAAAAAATTGATGAACTCGGTGAAACTAAAAACATTGACAACAGACAGTTGAAAAAGTTTAGAAGAACAAAGAGACCGAAAACAAACTTGCTGGAAAATTTTTGAAAAATTGTTATTATTTCGAAGGAAAAAAAACACGTTGAAGCGTTTTTGAGCTTCAAAAACTATTTATGTTTAGCACTTTTCTTTGTAAACTGATCCCATTTAGAGAAAACTGGTTGAATGGGTATTTTTTACTCCGCTGGTAATTCAGTAATTTAAATCCCGGTTTTGAAAATGGAAGTTATTCAGGTTTTTTTGACCATTTCACTTCTGCTGTTCGATAACAAAATTTGCCTCCACAAAAAATTTAACAAGGTAATGAAGTGAACTTGAAAAAATCATAAGCCAAAACGCAAAAATCAAATTTAGGCGTAAACAAATTTTAAAACTTTTTTTCTGAAAAAAACAATTCAATACTATATGAAATGAGCAGAGCCAACATACAGTTAAAAACGTGAATGAACTCAATTAATCAAAAAATAAAACTGACTCGTTTTTTTTTTTGAAAAAATATCAACTTTTTATTTTCCAAGAAAAAAGAGACGGTCTTAAAGCTCTTTGAATTTCTAAAACACATTTTTTTCTAAAACACTTTTTTTTATATAAAACTCGCCCAATTAAAAAAAACTGAATCAATTGGTTAACTTTTATTAAGTTAGAAAATAGTAAATGAATGCAAAGAAACAGAAAAAGTTGACTTGTAAACTAAAAATATAGGGCAACCAATCATTAGCACTTTTTTGATAAAATTAACCAAGTTTGAGAAAACTGGATTATTAGCAAAAGTTTTTAATACGCTGGGAAACCTAAAAACTAAATACCACTTTCGAAACTAGAAGTTGCTCACATTTTTTCGTGCCATTTCAGCTTTCAAAATTTGGGAGTTCATTTTGCCTTCCTTCTAGCAAATGAACTAGAATTGAACCCAAAACTGCATTAACACCTAAGTACATTCATCTTTGCATTAACAAGTATGTAAGCACTTCTTTTGTTATAAGAGCATTCCAGGACTTTTCCTGAAAACAAAAACGAAAAAAAAATTCCCACGACCATTATGAGAATCTCAAACATGTTCGAATCTCAAAATTCTCTTCGTTTTCAAAAAACGACTTTGCCCCAAAACGATCTTTTTATGAGTCACACTTTCTTCATAAAACTAACCCAATCTGGAGAAAACAGGCTCAATAAATATCTACTTTATTCTGCAAGGAATTTTAAATTTTGAAATCCGTTTTCTGAAGTATAAACATTTATGTTTTTGCGCAATTTGAAATTTTATTAATTGAGAAGCAAGTGTATTCGAATACAAAACTTTTTCGCAAAATTGATCAAATTGAATTTTTTCGAAAAAAATAAACAAACATAGCCAACACAGTTGTTCGAAAAGAGTCAGAACGCAAGGACCCAAAAAACACTGATTTATTTCTTTAAAAAAAACTTCAACTTTCGAACTTCAAAGTACAAAATATATGTCCTTAGCCCTCTTTTAATTTGAAGACGAATTTATGAGTGACACTTTTTCGAGATAAAATTGACCCAATCTGAGAAAACTGGGTTTATGGCCTTCTGTTAAACAAAGGACATGAAAGGAACTTCAAAAGAAATCAAAAGTCACACCTCGGAAAAGTGAATCTGAGCCTAAAAAATTTCTAAGACTTCCGAAAAAACTTTAAAAAATCATCGCGACTTGTACACAAAGGCCAAGCTGCGCTTCGCAAACACTTGCGAGAACACGACCAAAGAGCAGCTCTATCGAGTGAAATAAAAAAGAGTAGAAATAAGCCTCGAATTAGCAAAAAAACTCGGCTACATGTCGGATTCGAATCTGCAACCTAGCAAATTTGAGTCTCACGCACTAACCACTCAGCCACGGATGTTTAAAACAAAACAAGCCGCCAATAACGCAGCTAAAATTTGCCAATTCGATGCAGCAAAAGAAGCGCCAAATACAAAAAGACAAAATTTTGCATGTAATAAATTCGAAAGCATAAAGCCAAATCATTTATTAATTATGCATTTACAAAAAATTTGCGATCTCGAGTTGGAAATTTTCTGAAATAGAGCATTTTGTCATTGTACTGCCATTTGAAACAAATAAATTTTTTCGGTTCATTTGATGAATTAAAAATGCATCAGCTGTGCTGACTTTTTACTAATAAAATGTCAAAGCACATTTGATATAATACTGCTACCACAGCCTACCGATTCAAAGTGCCATCAAAAGTAGCACTTTTATTTGCGGCTTAAACTGGAAAAAAATAAAGGTAGTACTAATACACTATGCTTCGCAAGTGTAATAAGAGTCTGAACTACGTTCATCGACTCAAAAACAACCAAATTGCAGGTCTCAAAAAATGTGTCGTAAAAACACTGCGATGGTTTTTTTCGGAAATTTTGCTCTTCGTTTTAAACTTTTGCGACTGCTCACCCAGTCATGAGTCCGAATGCGTTGAAACCTGGCTTGGATGCCACTAGTCTTCTGATGGCTCCGAACTGCGCATGAAGATCTTCTTTCGGAGTGACGTCATTATCTCCGTCCTTTTCCAGCAACGCTATCAATGCTGCTTGCACTAATTTGTCACGTGCCTAGACAAATCATAAAACTGGTTAATCAATAGTTTTTCTATGATTTCAAACCCAGTCTCTTCTTCAAAACATTTTAATCCATTTGCATTTACGATAAGACTTCCACAGTATTCTTATATGTTAGACATCGTAGCTAGCAAAAGTTTTATAATTGTATATTATTATAATTGTTTACTCTCGGGTTCTCAAATTGGTTTCTATAAATGTGCGTTTCCTGATTCATAGCTCGCGTTTCCGTAGAACTTTTAGAGGTTTCATTAAGCGGGACACATTCTACAGCTGGTTAACATAAAAAGGGGATATATATTTTTTTGACCTTGGGAGTGTATACGTCATGTCGAGTGTTCAAAGCAAACACAAACCCCCATTGAAGTCCAGCTGGCTTCAACAGGCATTCAGAATTTCGATATTTTACATAGGATTTATGAAAGTAAAATCATTATTCTAGATTGTAATGTACAATGCTGGTTGCTGAGTTGACCCATAAAAGTCAAGCTTTCAGAGGATAAAATGAGACGCTCTTCTAATCCGATAAATGAAGACAGCAGTATAAAAAAAACTCACGTCTGATGGGTTGGCCATTGAGAGTCCATTGTAGCTGATGTTGGCATTGAATCGGTCTACTGCAATTTTGAAAGACCTTCCTGCAACAGACAGATGGCCGATTGAAATTGTTCTTTCATTAAATATCGATAGAGGAATAGTCGCATCCAGGGTTGGGAAAAAACGTTACATATTGAAAAAATCAATTAAACAGCGTATTTTTTAAAATAAAAATTAAGTTTTAATGTTTTTTTAACAGTTCATTCAGTTCTAACTTTCTGCCCTCACACTGATGCTCTCAAAGATATGCGGCAAGAAAAATATGAGTCAGATAATCATCTTTTCTTTTTGCTACGAAACGTTTAAGATGATCCGGTGTGCCGCTTTGTAGAGATTGAGCCGATTTAATAAGGGAAGGCGGCTCACACCCCTATCGCAGCGGTCGGACTCCCAGACAATGCTAGTTTTTTTGCGATAAAAGTTAACACTGTTTTTTATTTTCTGTTTAAAAACTTGTTTTTTTTCCTTGTTTTAAAACATTCCCAACCCTGGTCGCATCCATTTCAAACTAAATTGGTCCTTTTATGAATTGAAGTCAAATTTGAACGTTCGTCATGCCTACCAGAGAAATAAACAAAGCCAATCGAAGAGCGGAAGAGTAATGAACGCAAGTAAACAAAAAAACACTGAATTTGTTGAAAAAATCTCCACTTTCAAATTTCAAAGAAAAAAATAGATGCCCTTTAAGCTCTTCGAATTTCTAGAATGATTTATGATTGGCGATTTTTTGATAACATTAACCCAAAGTTTTTATTCCACTAGAAATCTAAAAATTATATTCCACTTTCGAAGCCAGAAATCATTCACGTTTTTTCGCGCCGTTTGCACGTTTGATTTTGAAGAGTGCTATTTACGTCACTTTCAGCAGATGAATTTCAATTGAACTCAAAAAATGCATATATACCTTAGTGCATCAATACTTTAAGACTTTTTTTTGCCACAATGAAGTTTTGCCACAACGAAATGTGATCTGAATACAACGTAATTTACCGAAGCTGCATTGACAACTTCCAACTTCTTCACAGATTCGACCATAGGTCTAGTCTCGTCTACCGCCAGAACTGCAAATTCTGATTCGCTATCAGACGTGACGAAATTACAGTTTTCCTCCGTAGTCTCGTCCGACTCGACTTCTACATTCGCTACGTTTTTGGAATTACAACATTTGGCAAAATGTCCCTTCTTACCACAGTTCCGACAAGTTACATTTCTAGCTGGACAGCTTTGTTTATGATTAGCAGAAAACCTGTTTCCACAAAAGTAACAAAGTTTTGCTTTCTCCATATTAGAGTTTCCTTTCGCTTTGTTATTTGTTTGAGCCCGATTGATCCTAACCGACAGCTTTTTCCCTTGCACAGAAAACGTCGCTTCCTGCTTAATGCGCGCACTCTGAGCCGAATTGGACCCTTGATGGGAGAAAATGCCCGATGCTGACGGACACCCGTGTTGTTTTTGTAGATTGGTAGCAGTTTGGGCCCTTTTCTCCTGTAATAACGCTGACTTCAACGTTTCTTCAGGAGTGGTCCCCGGGCGAATACAGAGTTCTCTTTGAATATCCTTATACCTCATAAAACTGATACCTCTTTAAATAAGTACTTTAACAAATCATGTCATGACACTAAATTGTGTCAACTTAAATCTTTCATAAGTCGACTAGAGAGTGAACGAATAAGCTTGCTTAGAATTGAACCGAGGTTTGACAGGTCGATAGCGACCTTGATAACCAACAATAGATTAACGGCTTACAAAAGAATGACGTCATAAGGAACAATGAATAATACAGTACTACACATTAAACAACACCGCACCACACTGAGATAAAAAAAACGAAAAAAAAAAAAATCAGCAAGACCTATATAAGAGTCTTCACTACGTTCATTACTCTTAATTAGACATTAAATCTGAATTATTAAATCCGTTTATGATTAGCAGAAAACTTGTTTCCACAAAAGTTACAAAGTTTTGCTTCCTCCATATTAGAGTTTCCTTTCGCTTTGTTATTTGTTTGAGCCCGATTGATCCTAACCGACAGCTTTTTCCCTTGCACAGAAAACGTCGTTTCCTGCTTAATGCGCGCACTCTGAGCCGAATTGGACCCTTGATGGGAGAAACTGCCCAATGCTGACGGACACCCGAGCTGTTTTTGTAGATTGGTAGCAGTTTGGGCCCCTTTCTCCTGTAATAACGCTGACTTTAACGTTTCTTCAGGAGTGGTCCCCGGGCGAATACAGAGTTCTCTTTGAATATCCTTATACCTCATTTTCGAAATGAAAAGATCTCTCACCACTTCCTTCTCCTGATCAATCGTCCAAACACACAGGGCTGCTTGTCCCGTAGGACGCAAATAGAAAGCTTCCAAACTTTCGCGTTCGGCATGCACGGCATTGTAAATTTGCAGACGTTCAATTATGTAGTTTTTCTCCTTTCTGAAGAGAAGAACACAATACTCGTGAAATTCTTGAAAAGAGATTGCACTGAGGTCCGCATGCGAATAGCCTTCTGAGCACAGAGAAAAGAAGACGAGACTTAATTCTTTGTTCTACTTCGTAGAAATACACACCAGGTTCCACTCTGGGACCTTTAGCCCGACGTTTCTCATTCATCTCTGCCACTCTACGAGCAGCTGCATCGTTTCTTGCTATGCGATTAGCTATGGCTGCTGCATCTTCATCGATTCCCACAGCCTCCGGTTTTGGAGCTGGATCATCGTGTACAACTCCTGGCGGTTTCAGCAGCTCACGAGGATCGCACCTTTCCCGTAGAGTGATGGCCAAACTGAATTGCCCTATCCAGGAGTCCCAACTACTGGGTGGATCGGCTGTTGGTTTAAGCCAGAAAACTGAAACGCCTAACAGGTCAGTCCGGTCGTCTGATACCGGAACTGCTGGCTGCGCCATGTGATAACTCAAAGAACTGAGAAAGCTAGTCAAGACTTAATTCATCTTGATATATAAATAATAAGTACTTTAACAAATCATGTCATGACAATAAATTGTGTCTACTTAAATATTTCATAAGTCGACTAGAGAGTGAATGAATAAGCTTGCTTAGAATTGAACCGAGGTTTGACAGGTCGATAGCGACCTTGATAACCAACAATAGATTAACGGCTTAGAATAGAATGACGCCATAAGGAACAATGAATAATACAGTACTACACATTAAACAACACCGCACCACACTGAGATAAAAAAAAAACGAAAAAAAAATCAGCAAGACCTATATAAGAGTCTTCACTACGTTCATTACTCTTAATTAGACATTAAATCCGAATTATTTATAGATATCTAATCCCGTTCTCAAAAAATACTTGATAGATCTACTGCAGTAGCATCGACATACGATTTGATGATAGACAACAATTCTGCAAATAAAAGGCTCTCATATAAATCATGAGAACAAGAGCAGCTGTCATTCAATTGGTATTTCTCTCACAGTCATTTGCTCTGACTTTGCCATCAACATAGACATTTTGGATATTCACTAACCAGTGGACATCTGTACCATCTTGAGGAGTGACATCTCAATGTCGTCCTCCACCTGTCCAAATAGAGGGGTGACTCTTTTGCCCCTGTCCACAGGACACATCTCAATACTCACAAAGTGGTTGCCACTACTCCGCACACTGTCCAACAGAGTGGCCAAGAGAGAGTCTCTCTCAGTTGAGAGATACTGTCGGATGCCACACTTGACGTACTCTATCGTGAACAGCTGAGGGTTCGAGGAGTCCCGCACAACCGCAAACACCTGAATTGTGACAGATTCGGAAAAATGATTCAATTTTTCTCATGTGACTCAATTCCTCGAAGGGTCAGACTAATTAAGAAACAGGATGCAGGTAACAGTAGGTTTTTGCAGACGCCGATTTCATAATTCTTTTGATTAGACCTTCAATACTTCTTTTGGGAATAAATTTCAGAATCTTCCTACATCTTATCTTATGTATAAATTATTTCAAACACAAACATTGCTTGTACAAATTTAGCATAGCCAACAGAGAGTTGGAAGATAGCCATTGAAAGCAAGAAAGCAGCAAAAAATCTCAACTTTCGAATGTCAAAGAAAAAAATATGGCCTTAAGCTCTTTGAACTTCACGAAAAATTTATAATGACCATTTTTAGATAAAATTAATTCAATTTAAGAAATTGGAAACTAGATCAAGAGGTTGGAAACTTGATCAAGTTTTTATTCCGCTGGAAAATCTGAAAACTGAAATCCACTTTCGAAATTAGAAGTCGATCACGTTTTTCGTGGCCTTTACACTTGGGCAGTTCGATTTGGCTTTCTTTAAACAAAAGATATGAACTGAACCTAAAACAAAACAAAAGTCTCAAACAGCGAAAATCAAAATTGAGCATGAGCAAATTTTAATAATTTTTCCTTAAAAAAATAATTAGGGTGTTAATCTTTCCATCTTACATCTGAAAGTGGTTTAAGATTGATGGCACTATATGTGGAGATGTCTCGTTCAATGATGGCCTTCTCAGTCACACACAACAGCCTCCTAGTGGGTTCCAGTGTCCTCGTGGATATCTTGGATACTTTGAACTCCACGATAGACGTCAGGGAGTCGTCGTCACTGAAATTCCATTTATCATTATACACAAACACTAGCCAGAACACGACAAAAAGCAGCTCTAAGACTTCGAAAAAGTGCAATAAGAAAAAGTAAATTAAAGACAAGAATTAGTATAAATTCCCCGACGTCTCGGACTCGAAACCTACGCCCTATTACGCCCTACATGTTATGAGTCTCACGAACTAACCACTTAGCCACGGACTCGTAGTCCATCACAAACACTAGCCACAAATAAAGGCGAGAACAGATGCTATGTAATTTCCAATGTTACAGATCGTGATTATAGCAAAAAGGCACATAAGTGAACACTTTTAATGAACACTTTAAACATACACAGCCTTAACTAAATACCCTCAAAACCATATCTGCCAATCTTATCTTATGTATTGAATTTTAGTAGAAATAATCGTATTGACATGCCGCGAATAAAAATTGAACCCCACTTACTAAAAATACGCTACTTTCACGCAAAACACTTAAAATGAAAAGTGGACTGTACATTTTTTTTATCACTTTCACATAGTTTCAGCAATAATTCAAGTTCAATATAGCTTACAAACTACCAATATGACATGTATAGCTAACCTGAAGTTCCCAAGTCTGTAGTTCTGGAAATTGGAGTATAAAATCCCCTCCTTGCACTTAATGCACACTCCCACGTGTTGATCGGCATTTCTAATTGCTAAGTCAATCAGCTCCTTTCTTCCAGTGCACGAAAAAACGTGCTAAATAAAAATGAAATGTGACAATATATAATTTTGTCTTCAATCAACATATGCAAGGGAATGAATTAACTTTTAGTGAGGGCGAAGAAATTAGCTAAAACCAACGTTTTGGTCAATTTCTTTCTAACGTCATACCTAAGTTTTGAGAGCTCGGAAAATCAATTTTGTCGGCTTAAAAAATTTCGCGTCTGGAGTAAACAGCATCATGCAGTACAATAAAAGCAAAAAAGATACAATATATGCTTTAAGTTTGATTACCAAACTTTGAACATAGCCAACAGACAGCTGGAAAAGAGTCGATGAACACAAGGAAACTATAAAAAAAATTGACTTGTTCCTAATAAAAAATAGCTTCTTGAAGCTCTTTGAATTTCGAGAACAATTTATAACGACAACTTTTTTTTGATAAACTTCACTCAATTTGAAAAAATTGGATTATTGGGAGAAGTTTTAATTTCGCTGGGAAATCTAAAATTTAAATTCCACTTGCAAAACTAGAAATCGATCATGTTTTTTCGTGCCATTTTAGCTTTCATAATGGGAAAATACATTTTGCCTACCTTCTAGCAAATGAACTTAAATTGAACTCAAAACGTGCATATATACATAATGGCAATCATTTGTGCAATTATAAGTATGAAAGCACTTCCTATATTATCAGACCATTGAAACACTTTTCCTGAAAAAAAAAATGAAAAAATCACGAACAAAATACAAGGCTGAATAACGTTCATTGACTTTAAACGCAACCAACAGAGAATTTGAAAAAAAAGCAGTTGAAATGCAATGAAACAGGAAAAAAAAACATGACTTGTTGTTTGACAAAATCTGTTACTTTTGAATTTCAAATTAAAAAACTAAATGGCCTTAAAGCTCCTTGAACTTTTAAAACATTTAATGATTGAAACTTTCTTGATGAACTTGACTGGATCACTGAGAAAACGGGGTCAATAAGTAGATAATTGGTTTCACTGGGAAATCTGAAAAAATTTTACTTTCGAAACTACAAGTCAATTACGTTTTTAGTAACCTTTATACTTTTGCTTTTCGAGTGGAGTTTGCCTTCATTTCAACAAAGGGACCAAATTGAACTTCAAATTAAAACTGAAGTCAAACGGCGAAATAGCTTATTTGAGCCTGAACAAAATTTTAAAAAAAACGGAAAAAAAAACCATCACGATCTGTAAAACTAGCGTGTAACGCACCTTTGGTGCTTCGAATTTATGGTAAATCACAAAACTGCAGATATAAGAAATAAAATTTGCATCCTTTGAATGTACTCTGACAGCGCCCAATTACAGGGTTGGTAATTTCAAATTTTGTAAAGTTATTCAAGTTTTTTTTATATTCAAAATTTGAAAAACCATACAATTTTGTGATTTTTTTTATATCTAAGTTCGTTGAAAATTTTTAAAATGACAGAAAAACGCCATTTCTCGGAAACTTAAAGAAGAGGAGCGGTCGGATTTGCACCCAAGATTTGCAACTTCTGAGAGTACTCACAGTACCCTTCTACAGGGTTGGGAACTTCAAAATTTGAAGAACTTAAACTTAAAATTCTCAATTTTTTTTAAAAAAGTGACATATCTCCAAAACTACAAAAATTTGAGCACTCATATTTGGAGGCAAAAATTGCAACCCCTGAGATTACTCTGACAGCCTCTGAAAACTTTTTTTGAAAAGAAAAACACAACAAACGTCTCATCTCGAAAACTAACAAGATTTAAGCACTCATAGTTGCAGGAAAATCTCGCAACCCCTAGTAGTGCCTTGACAAAGCCTCAATACAGAGAAAGGATCTTGAAAACTTTATATCTAAGTTCTTTGAACATTTAAAAAATAAGACATTACAAACGTCACATCTCGGATGCTAAAAACATTTGAGCAGTCGCAATCGGATGCAAAATCTGCAACATGAAACTCCTGAGAATACCTTAACAGTACTTAACTCCAAGGTTGAGAATTTATATTTATATTAAGTTTTTAAAATCTAAGTTTTCTGAAAAAATAAAAATAAAACAGAAAACACGTCATAATTCAAAAACGAAGGATTTGAGCAGTCATTTGGTGTCAAGATTCGCAATCCATAAGAGTACTCTCAGAAAGTACTCTGACAGCCCCACTAAAAACGAGAATTTCAGATTTAGCAAAAACAATCAAATTCAATTTTTGTGAAAGTTTTTTAAAATCATTAAAAACGTCATATCTCGAAAACTACAAGGATTTGAGAACTGACATTTGGAGGCAAGATTCGCAACCCCTCAGAGTACCCTGGCAACACCCAACTACAGTGATGAGAATTTTAAATTTTGTAGACTTTTCATTTGAACAAAATCGTCATAAATCAAAACCGCATCAAAACGAAAAAATTAGCTTGAACATATAAATTCACAAAAGCACGACGCAATACCGAAATCGTAGAAAAAACAATCGAGGTAGTTCAATAATTCTCCTGGTAATCCAGTAAAAATCAGCTGCGGAAATGTATCTGATGTACCAAGGAAAAGACTGGGAAAATCGAATTAGAAAAAAGAATTATCAAAAACTAGAACAAACTCAGTTTGTAAAGTTATCACGATAAGAAGTCGCGGAACCAAATCATTAAGATAAAAGTGTTATCACTTTGAAAAAGCTGGCAAACCATTCGGGGAAAGGTGTCATCATTAAGATCAAAAGTGAACAAATTTGAGTCAGTTCAAACAAACAATCAAAAAAAAACAATACAAAACCTGTTTCTGGAAAAATCACGGGCAGAAGTCGCAAAACCAAATCAATTAGGGATAGGTGTCATCATTTAGATCAAACATGAGCCAATTGCATCAGTACAAACATACAATCAAACAAACTACAAAAGCCCAGATTCTGAAATAATCATGAACAGAAGTCGCGAAACCAAATCATTTGGGGAAAGGTGTCATCGATTAGTTCAAAAATTTAAGAAATCAAAAAAACTCAAAATAAAACAAAAACAAATAAAGCTCAGCTTCTGAAAAATCGTTGGCCAATTTGCTATCCAAATCAATTGAGGAAAGAAGTCATAATTAGGATGAATGTAAAGAACTAATCAGTGAATGAAAAAGCATTCGCAAGAAAAAGATTCTAGTTTGAACAAAATCGCAATATTTCAAAACCGCACTAAAACGAAAAGATTAGTACTATTACAGATTTAAAACCAATAGACATTCACTTCGCATAAATCACAGATAGAAGTCGCGAAACCAAATCATTCGGGGAACGGTGTCATGATTAAGACCAAAAGTGAACAATTTTGGGTCAGTACAAACATACAATCGAAAAAACAATACAAAACCTGTTTCTGCAAAAATCACGGGCAAAAGTCGCAAAACCAAATCAATTAGGGATAGGTGTCTTCATTTAGGTCAAACATGAACAAATTGCATCAGTACATACATACAATCAAACAAACTATTAAAAAACCTCGAGATTCTGAAATAATCAAGGTCAGAAGTCGCGAAACCCAATCATTTGCAGAAATGTGTCATTTCAATCAATCCTGCACAAAATTGAATCAGTAAAAAATTACAATAAAACAAATAAAACATAGCCTCAGTTTCTGAAAAAAAGACGGGCAGAAGTCGCAAAACCAAATCACTTAGGGAAAGGTGTCATCACTTAGATCAAACATGAACAAATTGGATCAGTACATACAATCAAACAAACTATGAAACCTCAGAATCTGAAATCATTAAGGACAGAAGACGCAAAAACAAATGATTTGCAGAAATGTGTCATTTCGATCAAATAAGAACAAATTTGAATCAGTACAAACATACAATCAAGCGAACTATAAAAGCTCAGATTCTGAAATAATCATGGACAGAAGTCGCGAAACCAAATCATTTGGGGAAAGGTGTCATCATTTAGTTCAAAGGACTAAGAAATCAAATCAACTCAAAATAAAACAAAAACAAATAAAGCTCATCTTCTGAAAAATCGTTGGCCAATTCGCTATCCAAATCAATTGAGGAAAGAAGTCATAATTAGGATGAATGTAAAAAACTAATCAGTGAATGAAAAAGCATTCGCAAGAAAAAGATTCTAGTTTGAACAAAATCGCCGTATTCCAAAACCGCACAATAGAAGTCGTGAAACCAATTCATTCGGGAAAAACGTCATCATTTAGATCAAAAGTGAACAAAACTCAAACAGTACAAACATACGATCAAACAAACAATTCGAAACCTCAGGTTCTCAAAAAAATATGGGCAGAAGTCGTTAAACCAAATCATTTAGGGAAAGGTGTCATCATTTAGAGCAAATAAGAACAAATCTGCGTCAGTACATTCATACAAACAAACAAACTATAAAAAATCATGCTCTGAAACAATCTGGGCAGTAGTCGCCAGACCAAATCATTTGTGGAGACGTGTCATCATTTAGGTCAAACGTGTAAAAATTCAAATCAACTCAAATAAAATCAATAAAATTAAATTCAAGTTCTCAACATAACATGGGCAAACTCACTATCCAAACCAATTGGTAAAGAATTATGATCTAGATGTATAAAATGAACACATCAGTCAATGAAAAAGCTTTTGCAAGAAAAAAGATTATCATTTGAACAAAATCATCATAATTCAAAACCGCATCAAAACGAAAAAATTGGCCTGGAAATATTAAACTCACAAAAGCGCGACGCAAAACCGAAATCGTAGAAAAACAATCGAGATAGTTTAATAACTCTCCTTGTAATCCAGTAAAAAAATCAGCTGGCGAAATGTATCTGATGTACCAGAGAAAAAACTGGAAAAACCGAAATAAAAAAAGAATTATCAGAAAACTAAAACAAACTCAATTTGTAAAGTTATCACGGGAAAAAGTCGCGAAACCAAATCATTAAAGTAAAGGTGTTATCACTTTGAAAAAGCTGGCAAACCATTCGGGGAAAGGTGGTATCATTTAGATCAAAACTGAACAAACTTGAATCAGTACAAATATACAATCAAACAAACAATACAAAACCTCAACTTCTGAAAAAA